CTGGCCATCAAGCTTCTTCCTTGCCTTGACCACCTCACCAAAGCCGCCCTTTCCGAGCCTGCCTTCTTCAACAAAGTCTTCAGTGTATCTGGACAGGACAGGACCTCGGGTGATAGAGTCACGCCTCAGTCTCGCAGGAATCACTTGCAATGATGATATGGAAGGGCTGCTCGATAGCATCGCGGCCGTGTCGTCAAAGAGGACTGGCGCATCAGTAGCCAAGAACTCACTGGATCCAAGCTCAAAGGCTCGTGGCCTCTTTTGCTTGTCCTCTTTGAAGAATCTGCTGACCAACTCATGCAAGGAATGTGATAGAGTAAGTGATTCCATCAGATTCTTGGGCGACGAGTAGGTCCGCAGCACATCAAGACCAAAGATCATCTGCACAAAGACAACACCAAAGTCCCAAATATCAGTCTTGTATGTATACTGAGGTTTGGACGCAGCAGCAACCTCTGGCGGCAGCCAGTAAGCAGACTTGGCAGTAGTCATGCCTGGAGGTCCCGGCTTGTGCGAACTGATGGCGTGGATCTCTCTCTGATACCACGAGTCGGAGATCTTGGGAACGATTTCACCGGTGGACTCTCGGAACAACAGGATGTTCCCTGCATGAATATCTTGATGGGCAATGTTCTTGTTGTGAAGAAAGTTGAGCGCATCTAGCAAGTCACGCGTCCAAGACCGCACTTTGCCAATCTCAATCTGCCCAGCAAGTTCCAAGAGTTCCTCCAGGGGACCCTTTTCCGCCAGCGGTGTCAAGACGCTTACGGTCCATGCATTTGGGACAGTCGGGTCAGTGGCAATTCCACTCTGGACCTTGAAGTCCAGGACCTCGACGAGGTGGCGGTGTTGAACTCGCTTTACCGTCTTGAGGTCCTGAAGACGCGACTCGAGACTCTGCAGCTGCACCTTGAACTCCTTGGAGTCCTTACTACTAGTGCGCAAAATAGCCTCCTTGAGCGCCATCGTCTGGCTGCCCTGGCCGTTAGCAAGGACAGGCCTGACCGTATAGACAACCGAGACAGGACCCTGTCGGGGGTCGCATTTGCTAGCAACAGCCTTGAAAGTAAGAACATTCCCCGACTTGTCCGTCGTATTGCAATATTGGTCGAACTCGATGAGCTCTTCCGTCTCGGTGCTCGAGGTGGGCTGCTGGGGAGTCTTGCCGTTGGGGCGACGCTTCGACTCCTTGGCCTTTTGTCGTTGGCGATCAATCTGCTGCTGCAGCATTTCCGCCATGACCCGTTCTTCTTCTTTTGTTTCCTCCATCTTCTTGCGATCGTCTTCCTCCTTCTTAGCTTGCGCTAGCTTGGCCAACGAGGCCTCGTGTCGTTCTCGTTCCTCCTCGAGGGACGGCAAGTGTTTGCCATCTGCCTTTGCTTGGGCGGCATCTTCGAGAATGTCACGAACTCCTTCGACAATCTGATCGATCATCTCCTGTTGATCCTGCGCGAATATCTTCGGCTGTGTCTCGAGGAACTTTTGGATCTTGAACTGGGTGACTTCCTTAAGGTCATAGTCCTTCAAGGTGATCAACGGGGGAGACTTGGGGTACGTCGCAGTCATGACAAAGCCGAGAGTGACGGCAAAGTCTTCGTCTCTCGAAGCTTTTATTCGTATATCAAAAGCAGGATCTGTTCTCTACGTACTATGAGCTTCGACTATCGGAGCAGGCTGATGGAGGGGACGGCATGTGACTCTACCTTCCAAGCGCTGTGAGTTCCTGTGTGCATGACAAAGTCTTCGCCATAGATAGCCTCGAGGGCGAGGAGCTCATTCTGCTGTAGTTCTTCATATTCAATCTTGTTGGTAGCCTCCGGGCTCGCGGCGGGCTGGAGGCCCGGAAAGCTTGACTCATCGTTGTTCTTCGTAAGGTTCAAGGGCGACTTCCATACCCCTGATTGCCACGCCATGGTTGCTCGGGATCCAGAGAAGTGTCACAGCAAAAGCTGCGACGCTACAGGGAAGAAGCCATGGCGGCACAGAATGTCGAGAAAATAATAATAAAAAGGTTGGTTGAAGGAGTCATCCAGCAAATGGATGACAGGTGAAGAAATCGCCAGGCCAGACCTGGGCTCTGACGTCGCGAAATGGGCGGGATGGCGGGGTACTTTACTCACCTTATTGCCGGTTACAGCTCGAGATGCTGCTTATCCTGGAAAGGCGGTGTCGTTTCACCGAATTACAGGCGGCCACAGGGCTGATGAGGGGTTCACGGCGGCTCTTGCAGCGGCCGGAGTGCTAAACTTTGGCCAATCGACGCCCCGAGACGCCTGGACCGCCAAGTGGTAGCCGCTGCAGAGGTGCCTGACCCCGGCTAGCGCTGCCTAGAAAGTTACTTTGGTGTGCCACCCAGGGTCCCGTCTTTCTTATCACTGTTGTCGTGATGTGACAGGTGAAAGTAAACAAACCAACCTTTTACAACTCATCTCCCAAACAATCCGACATCGCCAACCACGAATTGGAGAGACAGATGCTACAATCTCATCATTTGTGATCGCGCATGCGAAACAATTACATCAACACATTCAGACGACGCGCTACTCTCAGCTCCACGAAGATTACAAGATGTTGGGTTGGATGCTGAGACGCGGCGAGGACGCGCCCAACGCTGTCAATGACGGTGGTACGAATTCTTGGCTTCCACGATCATCGCACGCTTCTTACTTACCATTCATGTTAGACACGACCCAAATCGATGTGCCCGATACCCCTGCGCCAGTATTTGCTGCAAGAGCTTTCAAGAGCGCCTTGTTTGGAACCCCGGCGCGGCCGAGCGAAAACCAAGCCACGAGAGCAGCCAAAGAAAAGAACATGAAGACGGACGCAGTCTCTCAAACACCGCCTCGACCACAGGGCATTCTTTTGACCCCAGGCACGGGAACCACAAGAAGGAAACGCGTGTCATTTGGACAGGACGTCAAAAAGACCAATGATCTTAATGCGATCCACGAGAACGAAACACGCCATCGCACGCGCCTAAATGAAGCTCTGGAAAAAGCATCGCGATCAGCAGCTCAGGAGGCTGCGACGCGACGAAATCAGGATGACACTTCAGACGACGAGTGGGAAGAAGCCGACGACGAGGATTGCTGCACCCACGACATCACGGTCGATCTGAACGAGCCGCATTCGCAATCCGGGAAATACTGGAAGGAGGAGTTCGAAAAGTATCACGACGAGGCCAAGGTCGAGATGGAGAAATTGCTCAAGTACAAGCAGCTGGCAAAGTCATATGCCAAGCAAAAGGACGCCGAGGCCAGTGACCTCGCCGTCAAGCTCAAGGAAGAGCAGCAAAAGGTGATTGAGATGGAGAAGCAGATTGCTGAAGGCGCGTCTCGAATCGCATCGAAGCGAGATGATCGATCAGACGATGTCAACTCTGAGCTTCTATCAACTTTGACGAAACAAACCGCTCTGGCGGTGCAGTATCGAACTCGTGTTCAAGAACTCGAGGATCAACTTGAAGAGTTCCTCAAGGACCGAGAAGACGACCCAGATTCAAAGGCCGGCCGCAGGCGTCGACTAGCAACATCACCGAGAACCCAAAAGACCATTCTAGAGACACAGAGAGAGTTGAGAAAGGCACGCGCCCAGGTGAAGGAGCTGGGCGAACTTCGCGACCAAGTCTCAACTTTGAGGAGTCAAGTCAGGGCAGCAGAAAAGAGGGCCTCAAAGGCTGAGATGCAGACAACGGCTGTGCCTGACACTCCTCGCGAGAGTGCAAGGGCTCAGGATCTACGCGCCCAACTTCGCGAGGCCAGGGAAGAGGCTAAGAGAAAAGACGAAGAGATCCGCCAGCTCAAGGAGGAGTTTGAGGCATACCGAAAGGAGACGGAAGCTCAAGCTACGGATAAGAATGGAGTGTTGGAACGCGCCCATTCAAAGATTGCAGAACTCAAGAAGGAGATAAGGACATTGAAGACGGGAGAACAAGCGCCCGCAACTCGACCAAAGAGCTGGCATGTTCACACGGAAATCAGTCGTCTGGCGGAGGAAAACTCCAGACGAAAGGAGGAATCCTCAGAAAGGGCTTTCAACCAGCGAGGGCATGACCTCGAGCGGCGAAGCTTCGACTTGACAGATCTACAAGGCGAGGCCATTGGACTCAAGGCCACAAACCCCAATGTCCCTTCATTGCGGCAGAAGTTCCACGAAGACGCGCTCCCAAAGGTGACCCAATCAGATGTTGGAACAACAAAACAATCAGGCCTTGGCGATAGGCCAAATCTTGGCCGGCCTAGATGGCAGCCATTCGTGCCGCGATCACCCAGGAACAGGGCTTATCTCGGTGAGGAGCTCACCAAACGCATCGAGAGTGGAGGTGCCGCGTCCGGACTCCCCGAAATCAATGACATTGCTGTTCCTGATCTACCAGCCCTCGCCAAGTCGATTGCGCGCTCAAAACGAAACACGGCAACCGACAAGGCAGATGACAACATTGATCTCCTGCAGGATCGCTTCACGCGTCTAGGAGGTCCAGAACAGAGCAATGGCGCACCTCCAGCCACCACCACGTCGAAGAGCACACTACCACCGGAGCGTAGAGCAGCGGCGATTGCGCGAATCGAGCAGAGAATGGCGGAGAAGAAGAGGGCGCAGAGAAGAAAGGGGTTTGACAAGGAAAATGTGAGACCTTGAGAGAGAATGGATGCAGGTAATTACTTGGGCTTAGTATGGAGTGAGGTGTTGGACTTTTTTGTTTTTTTGGCTGCTGATAAAAATTGGACTTTTAACTTGGTAAACTCATGGATGGAACCCTGGAAAGGCTGGGCCTGGGTTTTTTTAGCATTGGCATGGAGTTGGGTTTTGTTGTTTTCCTGTTGCAGAGAAGAATCATCGGATATGGTTTTTAAACTTGAGTCAATTGGATTTATCATGGTTGTTATCTTGCCCGCCGTTTTCTACATAGGGCGATGGGGGCCTTGCGCTTATCTATCACGGGCGTGAACGAGCCAGAGCTAGGTCTCAACTTGGACTTGTCACGTTATATTCTACTCATGGCTCCTTTACAACCTGTCGTGTATGATACAAATGAGATCCAGGATGAGATTCTGGAACTAGAGCGTCGGCTTCAAGATGCAAAGGCACGTCTAAAGACAAAGCAACTATCAGCTCCACCTCCACCTTCAGGTCGTATGTATCACCTCCACACCCCTTATGACGATCTCAGCTCACCATGAGTATCAGCTCACCTCGCACCTTCGACTCACTTCCTACTTCTCCTCTCAGACTCTGCCCTTCCTCTCGGCTCTTTCGCCTTTAGTAGTGGCCTAGAGTCATATCTAGCTCATACGCCTCGCGGCAGCGCATCCTTCTCCTCCTTCTTACCTTCGTCGCTGTCGTCCTTTGCTGCGACGACGCTCCCTTTCGTCCTCGCCGGACATCGCAACCCAGATGCCCTCCCTCACTTAGACGACCAGCTCGATGCAGCTATTATCTGCACCGTAGGTCGTCGTGCGAGCGTTGCGCAGGGTCGTGCTCTGTTGAGTATCTGGGAGCGGTCGTTCCGCGCAAGCCGACCAGATGTCGATGCTCATGCGCTGCGTGACTTTGCTGCGCTCTTGAGGCGCGAGAGTCAAAACGAGGTACCTCTCGTATCTGCGCACCTCGCGCCACTGTTCGGAGCCATATGCGCCCTCGTCGGGTTAGAGCTGCGACAGACGGCGTACGTGTTTATGCTGAGTCACGTCAAGGCGTTGATATCGGCGGCAGTGAGAGCAAGTGTGTTTGGACCGTACCAGGCGCAAAAGGTGTTGGCTGGACAGCATGTGCAGAAGATGATTGACGACATGATCGATCGAGAGTGGAATACGCCAGTTGAAGAAGCCGGGCAGACAATCCCCCTTATGGATCTGTGGTTTGGACGGCACGAGGTCTTGTACTCTAGAATCTTCAACAGCTGAAATTTTTTGCTGTCATTGTGGTATCATTATAGTTAACAGATACATAATCTATGCATCCAATATGTAGAAATTTCAAAACGCCTTGTCCCCCTATTCATCATCGCTGTCGCTGTCATATGCCACCAGCGGTCCTGCTGAGGCTGCAGCTTTGGGCTTGGAAGCCACCGACACCTTGGCCTTGTTAAGAGCCGCAAGTGTGCTGCCCGAAAAGATGCCCCCCGTCTCCTGCTGTGGCTGTTGCTCCTCCTGCGCTGGTGTCTCGCTAGACTCGCCGTTTTCGATCATGGGCCGTTCCTGGTATTCCACATCAAACCCTTCCCTTCCTAGGGGGTTCACAGCCTGGGCGCCCCGAGCGAAGTGCACTTCATCGGGAGCTTCGTATCCTTCAAGGCCATAGCTGCTCTCAATCTTTCTCCTCTTCCTGGCCTCGGGATCCTTGCCTTCAATCTCGGCGACAAACTCTGCAGGCAGGGCTCTTCGAATGGCCTCGGCGGCCTGTTCCTCGATTCTTCGCGCCTCACGCGCCTGCGCCATCGGGTTGGGATCGGCGGTGGCCCATCGAACGTTGAGAATTTCATCGTGGTCGAGAGATTGATGCGCCATGGCTTCCTTTGCGAATTCGGCGTTGGCTTCCTTGACGTAGGTTACGAATGCGACACCTCGGGTGTTGAGAACACGGGCTAGTTCCGTTAGCAGATGCGACAAAAAACTCACAACATATACTTACTGCGCTCGATAGGACCCCATTCAGCAAAATGTCGAGCCACAATCTCTTCAATATCATCGGTGACGTGTATCCTTCCCACATAGACAGTTCTGTTTTGCCTCATGAAACTTCCAACGCCACCCATATCGTCTCGGTAATCGGAAAACTTGTCGCGTCCGAAGCAGTCCACATTGGGGTTGAAGTGATCGTACGTCCCAGGAAGTCGGTGGAGGTAATCGCAATCCTGGCCCTTGGTGCAGATACCGCGCGCGAACCGCAGACAGAAGAAGCTCCCCGGCAGTCCGTCGGCCTTGGTGTAGCCAGAGTCTTTAGCGACGTTGCAACGACCCTTGGCGTGAGTCTTGGACAAGTACTTGTCTTCTCTATCGCCGCCCGACCACTTGTTGTACCAAATGTTGAAGATCGTACCGGTCTGAGGAGGAGGTTCTGATGTGAGGGTGTCGGGATCGATTTGCACTCGCGCAGGTCGCTTCTTCTTGCGAATGATCTTCCTAACGACCTTTTTCGTAGTCGGGGCCGCGACATCGGTATTTGTCGTCGCCAGCGCCATCTCCTCATCCTCCTGATCGGCGACCGGCGCCGTCGCAACCTGCTCTGCTGTATCGGCCATGATATCCTTGCGCAAAAACGAATCGTTGAAAAAAAGATTGTTGTGATGGCGACGCGACGTTGCCTCGAGAACCTAGCAAATGATGCAAGGCTACAAAAGATTCTGGGGGATGGACATGCCTCCAAAAGAGGAAGGCGGTGAGTCAGCGCATCCCGCATTTGTGGAGCTCAGGATTGAGATTCTGCCGCCACTTCATCAGGCCTCTTCTAGCCCCTCCACTCATGATTTTGGATCCTGGATAGAACCCGAGGCCTTTCGCGACTTATACCCAAGTTTCTTCCCCCTTTTCTTTTCCAGGACTTGTCCAGAGACGCGACGGGCGTCTCAAACAGACGACAAGATGGTCAACATTACGGACAAGATCAAGGAGTACGTTGTCACTCTTGAGCGCCATGGCGGGGCACCACTGATACGTTTGAAGGATTGAGGAGGAGATGAAGAGGACGCAAAGTAAGCATTGATATGTTCTATGAGTTCAGGTCATAAGTTGGAAAGTTCTGGTTACACACAAGTCTTGAATCTTGAAGACTAGTGAAAGGAATAGCTCGTTATAACGGTGCCATGTTCTTCAAGATTCACTGCGATGCCAGACTTTCACAAATCCCCTTTGCATTAGCACCCATTTATTTTACAAGACTTGAGCTGACATTATCTTAGAAAACAAGGCCACTGGTATGTTGACAATGCTTCGCCTCCCATCACATGTTCCTAGCGTGTATTAACACATCTCAGAATATCATCTGGGTCTATTAAAAGGGTAAGTTCACTAGCAGGCCAAGACATGTCTCGAACCTACCACTCGAAACACGACGCCATTCCCATCCGATATTAACAAGCCCAGAAAACTCGCTCGACTTAGGGCTCAACTCCTGGAACCTGGTCCGGGAGCTGGAGGTGGTGGTGGTTCAGGTTTCGACGTCAGCAAGAGCGGTGATGCGCGAATTGCCCTCGTCGGTTTTCCATCAGTAGGAAAGTCGACTTTCTTATCCAAGGTGACCAAGACGAGGTCCGAGGTTGCTTCTTACGCCTTCACAACTCTTACAGCTATTCCTGGCGTGTTGGAGTATGGCGGTGCTGAGATTCAGCTTCTTGATCTTCCCGGTATTATCGAAGGTGCCGCCGAGGGAAAGGGTCGAGGACGACAAGTCATCTCAGCAGCCAAGACCAGCGATCTTATTCTCATGGTGCTGGACGCCACCAAAAAGGCAGAGCAGAGAGCCCTACTCGAGGCTGAACTGGAAGCAGTCGGTATCCGTCTGAATCGGGAGCCGCCGTAAGTGTCGAATAAGACAGTCTCGGATGTTGGACTAACACGGAAGCAGCAATATCTATCTCAAGGTCAAGAAGGCGGGCGGCATGAAGATCACATTCCAGACTCCCCCCAAGTACCTGGACGAGAAGATGGTCTTCAACATCCTCCGCGATTACAAGATTCTCAACTGCGAGGTCCTGGTGCGAGACGAGTTCGCAACCGTCGACGATTTTATCGATGTCATCATGAAGGACCACCGCAAGTACATCAAGTGCTTGTACGTGTACAACAAGATCGACAGCGTCTCGCTCGATTTCCTGGATAAGCTAGCCCGCGAGGACCACACGGTGGTGATGAGCTGCGAGCTGGACCTGGGTATTCAAGATGTTGTGGAGAGGTGCTGGAAAGAGCTCAAGCTGATCCGCATCTACACCAAGCGCAAGGGCGTGGATCCCGATTTTAGCGAGGCTCTGATTGTGCGAAGCAACAGCACCATCGAAGACGTTTGCGATCGTATCCACAGGACGCTGAAGGATACGTTCAAGTATGCGCTGGTTTGGGGTGCTAGTGCGAGACATGTTCCTCAGAGAGTTGGTCTAGGGCATCCGGTGTCGGATGAGGATGTTGTTTACATTGTCAGCGGCTGGCGAGCGTAGACAGTCGTTATCTCAATTGCCGCACAAACACAAAAATACACATGACACAAAGTTCTTAGTCATATGTCCATTGGTAAAATCGTACATCAACAGTAGTAACCATAAGCAAGTCCCAAGTCCAAACCCAAACCCTGTTCATCGCATCATATCATTACAACCCAAGGCCTTGATATCCTGCACAAGCAAAACCCCAAACGCCCCAGTCCAACCTCCAGCGGTTGACTGAATTCCTGGTGAAGTAAATACACACGGCGTAATCCACAAAGACATGGCTTCACACACAAAAAGCGTTACGTGTGAAGAAGAAACAAGTTGTTGTCGTCGTCGGGTGTTTACAGACCAAAGGCCTTGGTCGGGGCTGGCTTTGCGCCCAAGGGGTTGTCGCCCTTGAGTTTCTTAGCGCTGGCTTGGGCGAACAGTGACTTGGGCTTGGCCCTGTAGATGAATTGTTAGTCGAGTGCGAGAGAGTTGGGGAGAGGGGATACGGACTTGCTCGCGTGCTTGTTGCGCAGAGCGTTGATCTTGGCGGTGCAAGGGCTCATGATGTTATCCGAGGGCGAGACATACTGGGTCGTCCTGTCTCAAGTCAGTGGAAGTCTGTAAAAGTGTATAGAGTATTTCGTACGACTCCTCTTGTGCCATCTTGGACTGGAGCATCTGGCGGTGATACTCCATGCTCTTGACCTCCTTGACAGGAGCTTGCTGCTCTGACATGGCAGCGTTGACGTCCTTGTCGGCGAGAACCTTGGTCGACATGATTGATAGTGTGTAGATGTGTGTGTGTGTAAGAGACAAGATGCTATTGCAACTTCAATTGCGAAAGCGATGTAAGAGAAAAGCTTAAGCTTGCGATTGCGTGAGTGTCTGAAGAAGTTAAAGACGAGGTGTGCGTGCTTCTTTAATGTACCAAGTGCTCTTTGTGATGGGATGGATATAAATCCGGGCAAGACGTGCACAACTCAAAGAAAATTACCAGGTAAAGTAAACGGTGTTTCTGGTCGACGGGGCAACGGCGAGAAAAATTGCACGGCAAGCAGGGATCAGGGCCACATTGGAATGTGGGTCTCCTCCTTCCTTCCTTGCCGTGTTGAGTTGCACGCTAGTTTCCGTGAGCTTCTGCACGTCAGAAAAAGTGCCCGTCTTTTCTTCCCGCGCGGGCTGTGAGGTACCTAGGTCGCATCGGCTAAGGGACAACGCATCATTCATCGCCAGGGGCAATGGCATGTCGTGGACTATGCGCATTAGATTTCAAGGGTCGTGGATGTGACTGATGATCTTTGAGTCATGGCAAGTATCAACATGCTTCAATGTCACCCAATACAAGTCGACCAGGAAACTCGAGTCCAGACCTATACCTGGAGATCTATTATCACAGACAGAGTACATAACAAACAAAACACTATCTTGATGCCGAAAATCATCATCCCGGCCATGTTTGGCTACTCTTCATGCGGCCAGAAAAGCAAACAGGAGGTCTTCTCCACTGCTTCACTTGGTCAACCATGAACCTGCGGCCACTCACATCAGCCATCTACAGCTTGTGCTGTATCCTTGCTCCCGGCTGTTTCCTCTCGACTCCATACTCCTTGAGCAGCTCCTCCGTCTTGGCCCTCTGCCTCTTGATAACAGCCGTAGCCTCAGGACCGCGCTTGTTCTCGTTGCGACCCATCTGCTGCAGATGAACCTCGTCAGGTCCGTCGGCCAGCCGCAGCGTGCGGATTCCAGCCCACATGTAGGCGAGCGGCGTGTCCTGCGAGACGCCCGCTCCGCCAAACGCCTGCACGGCCCGGTCGATGACGGTGAGGGCCGTCGACGGGACGAGAACCTTGGCCTGCGCGATCTCCTTGAGCGCCTTCTTGGGACCTAGCTCGTCCATCTTGATGGCTGCGTTGAGCACGATGAGGCGGGCTGCGTCGATTTCGATGCGGGACTTGGCGATCCATTCGAGGATTACGCCGTGCTCGCGGAGGAGCTTGCCAAATGGCTTCTTGGACTCGTCGTTGACGCGGAGGAGCATCCAGTCGAGGGCTCGCTCGGCCTGGCAATTGTGAGCAGACGTTTGTTTATGTGAGGGTGGGAAAACTTACAGCGCCAATGGTGCGCATCGCGTGGTGAATACGGCCAGGTCCAAGACGGCCTTGGATAATCTCAAAGCCTCGTCCCTCACCAAGAACAATGTTGGAGACAGGCACCCTCACGTTCTTGAATGTCAGATGGCCGTGTCCGTGAGGCGCATCATCATAACCATAGACGTTCAACATACGGTTGATAGTGATGCCGGGAGTATCGGCAGGCACCAGGACAACCGACTGCTGTCGATAAGGGTCCTTGTTGTCGGCATCCGTCTTGCCCATGACAATGTAAATGCTGCACCGAGGATCACCAGCACCGCTAGACCACCACTTCTGTCCATTGAGAACATACTCATTACCCTCGCGTCGAATATCCAGCTCAATGTTGGTAGCATCCGACGACGCGACCTGCGGCTCCGTCATGAGGAACGCAGACCTAATCTTGCCCTCCATGAGAGGCTTGAGCCACTGCTGCTTCTGCGCCTCATTGCCGTACTTGGCCAGCACCTCCATGTTTCCCGTGTCGGGAGCAGCGCAGTTGCACGCCTCCGAGGCAACGCTAGAGCGGCCGAGCCACTCGGCCATGAGACCGTACTCGAGGTTGGTGAAGCCGGGAGATTCCTTGTAGTGGCCCTTGGGGAGGAACATGTTCCAGAGGCCGAGAGCCCGCGCCTTGGTCTTGAGGTCCTCAATGACGGAAGGGTGGCCCTCCCATCGCGCGTCGCCCACACCCGTTTGGGCCTCGACGACGGGGTCAGCTCTGTGAGAGTGTTAGTCGTGTGGTGAAGGGGTTCTGTAGTGGAGGGCTTACGGGATGCATTCCTCCTCGACAAACTTGGCCACCAGGTCAAGCTGTCTCTTGGCAGCGTCGCTGACGCGATTTACAGCCTAAGGATTGAACAGTTAGTCGAAGATATTCACAATGGGAGGGATGAAGCAACCCACAATAGCAGGGATTCTCGCCGACATGATGACAGCTTTGATGTTGTCGACGTCAGATGATGACAGTATCACAAGAAACAAGACGAAAAAGAAGATAAAAAAACAACGTCAATGTCTCAATAAAATGTCCCCGAGATTACACAAAAGAGAAGATCCACGGTCCTTAAATGATTTCCCGTAACCCTTCTAACTACCCCAGCTTCTCCGCACCGTCGTCTCGAATGATGGCGAGCGTGCCGAGGTTCGTTTCTGCTGACTCGCCTCCTGGACCTCTCACAGCGCGAGGCTCTCCCCAAGTGGGGAGCTTGGAAATCCGGGGTACGCGGCGTTCGGCCTCGGAGCTGGGTGGGGCAGATGCCGAGGGACAAGATCCCGTTGGTTATGATACGGGTATAAGACAAGGAGAGACAAAGATATGGAGTATGTAACCTTCATGGTTGCTTTTCTGACAACGTACGATTTTTTCTCCTATTGCTGCATGGTTTGAGGTGAAGCTTGTGATAGTGGATGGCGTGTTCTTGGCCGTGTCTAAACGGCATATCAGCAATGACACACGCAACACTCAACACACACTGGATGAGGACAACAGTTCAATATGATAGATAAGCCATCTGTCGACAACTCAATCGTCCATGTTGACCTCACAACTACCAATCAGAGCATAAAAAAGCAGACAGAAAAAAAGTCGCATCCATGCATGAACACCAACAAGAAAAAAAGGAAAACCATCGGCCTCAGTATGATACATTCAGTCAAGTAATGCTGCCTCCACCACACACGAGACACATTTCCCTCCTCCTGAGCCGGTCCCCCTTCTCATCGAATCCAATCCGAACCGTGTTGTCTGTATCGCATCGTACACTCTAGTACTCCTCTAGCACGCGCAGCCGTCACGGTCGTTCTCGATGTGAATGTTAATCGGGTCATCAAAGTCGCCGCTAAACTCCTCCGACTCTTCTTGGGCGAGGGCGTTTCGGGCAATCACTATACCATGTTAAATCTGCAGATATACTCATTCAAAAATACCCACCCTCAAAAGCCTGGTCAATGTTGATGGCCTCCTTGGCACTCGTCTCAAAGTAAGGGATGTCGCCCTTGGACTGGCAAAAGGTCATGGCTCTCTTGTTGGAAATCTGCTGCATGTCAGAATAATTCCATGCTGACTGATCGAATCACATACCACTCGCTTGCTCTCCTCAACATCAATCTTGTTGCCTAGCACAACCTACACAATCCGGTTAATAGGCAACCTCAATCCACAGCTTCTGCCTGACTCACAAAGGGAAAGTTTGGAGGGTCTCGAGGAGAAGCCTGGATGAGGAACTCGTCCCTCCAGCTGTCCAACGCCTCGAAGCTCTTGGCGTTGTTGACATCGTAGACGAGGACACAGCAGTCAGCGCCTCGATAAAAGGCCACGCCCAGCGATTGGAATCGTTCTTGGCCGGCGGTATCCCACAGCTATTTTGCCGGCGATCAGCTTCAAATCTCGAGGTCGATGTGTTTGCGTGCACAAGCGGGCTGTCCTACCTGCATGGTGACTTGTCGGTCATCAACCAGAACCTCTCGAGTCAGGAAATCAGCTCCGATGGTGGCCTTGTAGCTCGCACTGAACTTCTTGTTGACCTGTGGTGAGGGGGGGAGATATCAGCATCGTGGCCGTTATCGAGGGGTCGTGGAAAGGTGCGCACATATTGGTTCATCAAGCTGGTCTTGCCAACACCGCTATCGCCAAGGATAATAACCTATTCACGGCCATATCAATATTTTGAGCTCTCCAAGATCAAATACTCTGTTCTCCGCACCTTGAGGAGGACCTTCTTTCTCGAAGACATGTTGGGCTATAGTCTATCGAGCAGAGCGATTCTCAATGACGTTATCTCGAGCGTCTGGAACGCAATGACCGCAGCGCCTTCGTTTGTCAAGGCTCGATGTCGCCTATAAAATCTATCGCAACCCGTAGCAGGTGTGCTCTTCGGGGAGCTTGTATCGTCGTCGTGGGTGCTGGAAAAGATCCGTGGCGGCAGCAGGATCGAATCTAGGTTGGGTTGTTGTTTGAAGAGGCAGCGGCAGATGACGGGAGGGCAGCGGAGAGTACCAATGTCACAGCCTCGCCCGTCGCTAGAGGTGATGCCCACCGGCGCTAATCCACTCTGGTCCTAGCCCTATGCATAAATCAAAGGTGGGGCGCGACGGCGCCAGTGGTTCGCGGTTTGTGCAACCCCACGTGACATCATATGCAGCAGCATCATGCGACATCTACCCTTGTAGCTCAGATAGGCGGTGGATTGAGATGAGGAGGAAATAGGGTCAACCTCATGTCAAGGATAGATCCAAGGAGCCTCATGGACCCAGGATTGAGGCTTGGACCGCGGAATCATGGCGGATGACAGCCTTCTCGACAAGGTCCACGCCTTGAGTGACCTCGAGCTGGCCTTGCTTCTCTGTCTCATCAGTCGCGAACATTGCCTCGTGAGCACCCCGTCGGATGCCATCGACGACCTCATACAAGAGCTCCAACTGGTAGCCACCAAGACCTTTGGCCTCAGCTGGGTCGTCGTCAATTGCACTCCCTCCACTACGCTCGAAGATTTCGCCGCCGCTCTCATCATCGGCCACCAACCCTCCTCCGGCCGCTCTACCTCGCCCTCGCGCAACCACCCAGACTCGTACTTTACGTCACGGCCATCCTCGTCGCATCCACGCACACCACTTAGTCCACTGTCACCAGGTGGCGGCGCCTTTTCCTCGCGAATAGCCAACGTCATCCTCGCCAAGAACCTCGACCGAGCACCTCAGGCAGTCCAGATCCAAGCTCTAGAGCTCCTGCGTACACGCCGCATCTTCACTCGAACGTCTGTCCAGACGGCTCCGAAGCAGTTTGTGTTTATACCAGTGTTGCAGGCAGCCAGTGGTGGAGAGGCTCGTGTAACAGCGCACCTCAACGACTTTTTGTACATCGCATATTGGCATGATCCAGAAGACGGATTTGTCAACCTCGATGAGGCGGATGTTGATGATGCAGACACAGCATCAACGCAAAGTGTAGTGAAAAGGGGGCCTGGTGAAGAAGGCTCCTCTGGTCAACCCCTAATCACCGAAAACGTAGGCTTCACTTTCACCCCATATCCTCCTCCAGCTGACCGTAAAACAGGAGATCAGCCACTTGGGAACACTGAGCCAAGAGGCCAAGGTTGATATCGAAGTCACCCGCTACCAGATGAACATCGTCTCATTCCTCCGTATGCATCGAGCCGTTGCTGGAGGCATCAGCCCGACGGCCACCAAGCACTTTGGTCAGCTTATGCGCTGCCTAGCCGCCCTGCATCGTCTGGACTTTGTTACTCCCGCACTTGTTGGCCTCGCTGCTCACAAGATCTATCTACATCGTATCCAACTGACGCTTCCTGAAAAGGAGAGAAGTATGCAATGGGGCAGCAAGGTGGAAGCCGTAGAAGCCCTCTTAGAAGACATTGGCCCAGAAGATGTCGTCGAAGATGTGCTTGGCATGGTGACCGCGCCGCTCTGAGGCGGTCGCCCGTGTATTAAATAGTTCTATAATAATCTACACGTCATGACAAGTTGATTGAGGACTCCAGTTCCCCGAGTAGCCAGCCAGGCCTAGTCCAGTCCAAGTTTTGTTCATGATGCCGATGGCCCGTTCAATTGATTTCGCCATGTTCCCAAAATGCCATTAGCCGCCTTGAAACAATCACTCTAATAAAAAAAAAGACATTGCATATGCCGCAACCGTCATCAACGCCATACTTCCTTGACTTTCCCTCTAAGAGATCTCGCGGACCTTGCATGACCAGCCAGAGCCGGCCTCCAACAGAGGCAAGCTGAATTAATGTTAGTATGAGAAAGCGGAAAGGGGGATACGAAAAACTCACCTAGCACCGAGACACCAGCCAAGCTCGTTGCCCTTGATCTTCTTGGCAATCTTGACCTCTCGGTCAATGGGCATGTCATAGCCAGTGTGCAGAAGAGCCACCATGAAGTTGAGATCCAGGCAGTGGTCGGGTCGGTCGAGAAGCTCCTCCATGGCACCAGGGACAGTGGTGAAAACGTCCCAAGCAGTCTTGCCCATGCACACAGTCTGGGTAAGATCGTGCATCTCACGGAGAGTGAAGGAGTCGGGCATGCCAAGGGGCTTAGTGCGGTCGTAGAAGTAGGAGAAGATGTAGACATCCTCCTTGGTGAAGGTCTTGGACAGAAGAGGCTGGTGGATACCGTTGAAGGAGCAGGGAGCGAGGCCGCAAGCGGCGTCCTTGTTGAGAATCTTCTCAGCCAGGTTGCGGCACTGGGCGGGAGCAGGCTGCGAGGGACCGGTGAACTTGACGAGGTTGACCTCCTTACCGGCGCCAATGGTGACGTTAACATCCTTGGACATGCCGGGAGCGATACAGGGGTGAACAATGGGTTCCTTCAACCAAGCCTTGTCAGCGCCCTTGGACTCGCTAATGTCGTTGATGAGAGCAGCGTGGATGGCCTCACGGGCAGCCATCAAGCCATAGCCAAGGTGAGAGTGCTGGTAAAGCTCAAAGTTGCGACCACCGAAGCTGAGATCGTACTTGTGGTCGCCAGCAGCGAGCTTCTCGGGCATGCCGCCATCAGCAGCGCCCTTAAAGGTAGGCTCGAAGACAATCTGGGTGGAACCACCGCCGAGATCGAAAACAGCAGCGGTCTCGCTCAGGTCAGGACCGCCAATCTTGCCGAGGAGGTAGTTGGTGGTGATCCAGGCGTAGACACCCTCGAGGGAGCCGTCCATGATGGCAACACCCTCCTTCTCCTGGTCGACAACGGGGAAGGGGTAATCAACTTCGAGGTGTCGTCGGACTTCGGCCAGGATGGCATCAGCGGGCTCCTTGCCGATCATTCGGAGACCAGCGGTAGCCTTAACAGCGACGGGAGAGCAGCCCTTGAGAGCATCGGGAACGTTGTCCATGGCGACCTTCATGAGGGGATCCAGGCTCTTGGCGGCGGCCACGGGGTCGTCCTTATACTTGCTGAGGCCACCGACCTCCTTCTCGGTCATCTTAAACTCCTCCTTCTCGAGCTCGGGGGTAGGACCGCAGTTGTTGAACTTGTAGACGTGGATTCGCGATCCAGTGCTGCCAGCGTCAATCATGAGGACATACTGCACAATGGGCTTCTCCTTGGAGAAGGACTTGGTGCATCGATCGGTTCCGTAAGTCGAGTCGGAGGGAGTTTGGCCATCACCGCCCTTGGCGGCTTGAGATCCTAGAGCGCATGAGTAAACTGCAACTTTCCCTAGACAACTGTTCATACCTCCACTAGCAGCACCTGCTCCGTTGTACACTTCAACGCCCTTGGGCGAGATAAAGTAGAAGAGTGTAACAATCGCGAGGACGATGGCGGCGGTCTTAATCCACCTAGTCCTCTGCGACTGGGTCATCCAAGATTCCTTCATCCTTGCGAAATATCCCTGTCTCTTGGGTTTGAAATTGTATCGGCCTGGTTTCTCGTGAGGGTCGTAGGCGACGAGCTTGGAGGGCAGCGATGTGGCTGTTCTCATGAGCGCGGGTCGAGAGAGTGGAAGGGTGACGAGGCGGCGACGGGGGGGTCAGTATCAGTGAGGGACGCCGTCGCGCATGAGAGGGAGGGGGAAAGGTTGAAAAGAGTCAACCTCGGGGGGGAACGCGCTTCTAAACGAGGGAGAAGCGATCGATCAAAAGAAAGGAATGGAGGAGCGTGGCAAAGAGGAAACACACGTCAGAAAAGGAGTCGCGGTTATTATCTAAGTTTTTTGCCAGTTGACAATCTGTTAAGAAAGGGGCCGGACTTGCATTCGTAGCAGACTTAGGTACGGGTTTGATTGTAACCAGTCGTAGCCGCGGAATCGATTTGGATTGGACGTGGAGGTGAGATTGTGGCCAATCCGCACCGGAAGGCGGCCCCACTCCTCCTGCGGGTTGATGTCTGTCAGGGGGTTTGCAGGGAGTTTTTTCAGTGATAACAGCCCCTGAGCTGGCAGGGCGCCTCTAATTTTAGAAGCCCCACCGACATCATGAACTTGGAGAGGCCGCCATTTGGAGTTGAGAGATTTCCAAGAGGTGATGCAGACGAGTGAAAAGAGGTCGTTGTGATAAAATCATTATAGATAGTCCAGTTTTTGATGCTGTATGTTCTGTTAATGAGCGTCGTGTGGTTGACTCGTTATCTGAGAAGGAGCATCAGTCAGCACCTCAGAATGTTCCAGTCGTCCTCAAGACGTAGGCCTGTGTTGCCTGCTCCTCAAGCCAGGTTAACTTCCATCTTTGTTAACACTTCATCCAAGACAACCTATTCGCAACTTAGCAACTGTACAAACCATCGCCTTTCCAGTTGAAACCTCTAGAGATATTTGCCGCGATCCTCTTCCCGCCTCATTAGCGCTTGCCGCGCCTGCCAGCCCTACCAACTTGGCATTGGGTCCAAAGGCTCGTCCCACCTGAATCGACGACATGGACGTCCACCTGCTCGTATACGACCTCTCACGGGGCTTGGCCCGTCAGATGTCTGCAGGGCTTCTCGGTTTCCAGCTTGACGCCATCTATCACACATCAATCGAGCTCAATGGTCGGGAATACGTCTACGATGGTGGCATCATTGCTATTGCCCCCGGCTCATCACACCTCGGCCAGCCCTTGGAGAAGATACACCTGGGTACTACAAACTTGCCCATGGACGTGATAGAAGAATTCCTAGACTCCCTTCGACCTATCTTTACGCTAGAGGTACCTGTTCAGACCATCATTCGTCAGTATTATCCAGCCAGCTAACCTGCTCAGGCCTATGACCTCTTCCATCACAACTGCAACAACTTTAGCGACTCATTCTCAAATTTCCTCATTGGAAAAGGCATCCCGGAACACATCGTCAAGATGCCTCAGGCTGTCCTTGACTCACCCATGGGTCGTATGCTTCTTCCCCAGCTCACTCAGGGAGTCAATGCTGGGAGGCAAAACGGCTCCATCCTTGGCCTTCAGCAAAGCGCCCAGACACCCGCGGCTCCAAAACACAGCGTCAAGAATGTCACCAATCTTGCCGAGTTTAATCATCTTATGGAAGCTGCAAGAAGCTCATGCGCGGCTGTCTTTTTCACTTCAGCTACATGCCCTCCCTGCAAACTTCTGTACCCGATATACGACGAGCTTGCCCAAGAGGTTGGGGATAAAGCCACGCTGATCAAGATCGACATATCCAAGCCCCAAGCGCATCAGATTGCCAGTCAGTATTCTATCAGCGCCACGCCAACCATCATCACATTTCTACGGGGAGAGCAAGAGAATCGATGGTCGGGAGCCGACCAAGCAGCTCTTCGCGGGAATGTCAATCTCCTCGTTCAAATGGCCTTTCCACTTCACCCGCATGAGAAGCTCCGACTTCCAACTTTTGCAAACCCCGACGCAAAGCCAGTCCTATACGCCAAGGTTCCCCCATTGGATAAGCTCCTGGTCAAGATGGGCAATGAGGTTGCGAGCAAGCCCGAAGTCAAGGCTCTCAAGCAGTATCTTGAAGACCGTGCCAAGGATGGACCATCAAGTGCCGTTGTGCCTGAGATGAGCCATCTGTCGAGCCTTGTAAAGGACACCGTCTCATCACTGCCTATCAATACTCTCTTCACGATTGTGGACTTGTTCAGGTGTTCCCTATCTGACCCCAGAGTCAGCGGCTATTTCGCTGAGGAAAGGGGTCACGAAACCGTCAGAGCTGTCCTAGACCTCGTCAACAAGCAGACAGAGTGCCCATATGCACTACGCTTGGTTACAGTGCAAATGGCCTGCAACTTCTTCTCGACGCCTCTATTCCCAGAGGAAATCATGAAAGACAGCAATCTACGCTCTGCCATCATTCTGCTAGTCTCATCTAGCTTCCTCGATGAAGGCCATAACAACGTGAGGGTTGCAACCTCGTCCCTTCTGTTCAACTTATCTCTAGCGAATCGACGAGCCAGAACGAACTCCAAGCCAACTCTCTCAGGAGATGACGAGCTAGAGTTGGCTGCGTCTGTTGTGGAGGCCATTACACTAGAAGAGCAATCAGCAGATGCGCTGCATGGCATGCTACTGGCTTTAGGACATCTCGTCTACGGCACGGCTCTTGATGGAGAACTGCCCGATCTTCTTCAGGCAGTGGGGGCGGAGGATAGCATTCTGGCCAAGAAGTCCAAGTTTCCGGATGAGAAGCTCATCACAGAGGTCGGTACAGAACTGCTAGGCAAAGGGTTGAGGAAGCCATGAGACGGAGTTTTTGGGGGCCTGGGACTGGATGTCTCTATAATAACTTATCACTTAGACGTATTCAATGAACCACTTTGTCAGAGTAACTCCATAGCTTGTTGTGTTATCTAGGTTCAACTGATGTGAAGCTCGTAAATGCGCGCTACATAAGTGGCATTCTTATTGATCATAGTACCATGACCTAAAAGCTTTCGCACCGTCAAATTGCTTATGAGAAAACAGTTCAGTCCCTGTTCCCCAACCCAGAAGCACAAATGCACTTGGTCAAAAGTATTCGATGGAGGATCAGGAAGGGCATCAGAGCAACCCAACCGCAGTAAGACAACGAAAACGTATTCCCAAGCTTCAATAACATAACGATAAGGGGAAAGGGTTTGTTGTGCCACAAACTACGCTGTGACCGAGGTCGGTAAGTTAAGTCGGGGGGTTGTGAACCCCCCTGGTTTTTGGAGCAGGGTAAGGTCCACCGATTGGATTCGATCAGAAGAATAAAATATCGAAGTTCAACAGCCAACCGAATTAATCCGCTGACCAAGGGGGGTCAAGAAACAAGGGGTTCACAACCCCCGACTTAACTTATCGTTAGCGATGAAATGAGATGTTGAGCGGACTCGATGCCGACGTTCCTTTTCCTTCTGCCTTTACACCGCCGTTCTCTCCTGGTCCTGCCTGCATGATGTGTTCAGCACTTGTCAATTTTGGCACATTAAAAAAACACCAGAATGTAAAAAGTCTGGGGTAATTTTTGACCAAATGTGAAGAAATAGACCCTGACTTTTTGCAATATGTGCAAAAATTGGGTGGGGCATGAACGGCATCTGGCAGGGTCTTGATGATGTTCCAGTTTTGGGCGCTCTGGTCATTCTACTTGGATCCTTGTGGTCCAGATGCTACTTCGCTCACGCATTGCCAAGATTAGATAAGAGTTTTGTTTCTACAATGAAACGCAATATTTATGACCCAAAAGCACTAAATGTATAAAATACGTAAAGTGCTAGAAAAGCATATGCAGTAGACGAGATGAAATCAACCGTCGAGTCAAGAAAGCTCTATACAGGCCAACAACCAGAGTCGGCAAGTCACAACAACCAATGTTACCTTCACTACAGAGCTCAGAGGGTTTTCTATCAACTGTCCAGCGCCGCTTGCGGTGCGGGAATCAATGATGGGTGGGTGAGGGATGGAGGGTGTGTGCCTAACGGTCGGCGAGGTCTTTATGTCCGAGAAGGCGAGGGCGACAGGGAAAACTGCCTCACCCGCGATTTCCAGAATGGGTAGTGCAATCGACAATAGAAATGAACACAGCCTAGCGGGGGGACAAAATACATGGACGAGACTGAATTGGCTGTGCCCTCACCTTCCTGAGTCTCGTGTTTTATGTCCCCCGCTGGACAGCCTGCTTTGTGCAGGTAGGTAGGTAGTTAAAAACCCAGTTTCAATCAAGGTGCATTCCTATGATTCCTGGACCACTCTCCATTTCTCAAGCGCAGCGAATTCCTAATATACTATTAACACCAATCCAGAATCGAGAGTCGGATAATGGTCCTGTCTGCCGAGGCCGTCATCGCCATTGTCGGTGTCTTCATCAACATTCCCACCTTTGTCTTGGTGTTTTGGCACATGTGGGTAAAGCGGAGACGAAGAAGTAGCAGTTCGCATAGACAAACTCGGCGAGGTTGGTTTATTTCTCCAAGCTGTTGTTTATTGTGAAGCTTATGGATGATGTCGGGCAGATTCTGAGTCCTTCGAGGAGCATCAACTTTTCGACAGGGTGCCCCTCCATCCTCGACACGCTTTCCCTTGGGGTCAGCAGCCGCCCATGTTTGCATGGTACGCAATGCCTTGGGCTACGCCATATGGTTTTGATCGTCGCGCGCTATGAGAGGGACTCTACTGACTTGCACGGGCTTGCCAGAGCCGCAATGGGGCGGATGTTGCCATGTTTCTGCGGTTTGTTTCAACTACCTAGACGATGTGATGGAGATCGTTTGCACTCAAGGTTGTGCATTGTAAAAAGGAGGGGTCTGAGTTGGGGGGCCGTACGAAGACCATATCAAGTACGAATTATTCTCCCTAAGCCCTCATGCCTACATATTTCAGGATATCTCGATAGAACATAGGTGAACTACGATTATATGTCATAAAAGTTGGAGTTGAGGTTGAGTGTAGGGTACTGAACTCGTCCGAATTAGAGCACCCCGCGATGCATCCACCAACTGAACCGCCGCGGACGGCGCTGGAGAGTTACATGACTAAGCACCTAAACCGGCCTAGCGCAGGTGTGGCTGCCTTTATAATCTCAACCACCACTCCAACTTTTCAGTCTTCTTTTCTTTCTTTCTTCTTTATCAAAAAGCCAACTGAGCTGCCACGACCTTCACCCGGGACCCTCCGCGGTCCAAACACCCACGGTGTCGCGTTGCCTTTCCCCTAGCGGGAAACGCTCAGAAGAGTAAAACCCTTGGATATAGGAAATTTGCCGTTACCTCTTCTGTTTCTGCAGTATGAGTCCGTGGACGGTTAATGCCAAGAAGGGGGGACATTCCAATTCGTAGAATTTGTCTTTCATGCAAGCGCGCTTGTGTGCGCTTGGTAAATCGGTGCTAGACCGTTCGAGCCATGATCTGGCGCGGTTGAAGCTCGTGGACGCGAAAATCTCGTTGATCTTGAAGCGGGTCCGAGCAGAATTTGCGGCGCGCGACGTTGTTGAGCCGCATGCCGTGTTCCGTGAATCAGCTTGACCAACTTGTCAATGCAACCTTGTCATGATTGTCGCTCTGACTTCATGATGGTAAAGGTCTGTTGGGTTGAGGTGATTGTCCTGGCGACCAAGCCAAAGCGCAATGGATCCTTTACGGCGTGGCAGCAGCCAACATCACCCAGACACATCATGAGCTGCATGTGATTGATACATGTATTCATTCAATACGGCCGTCGCATCGTTTTCGCCAATAACCCTAAAAGTACAATCATGTCTCGATACAGCAAAGACTGTTCATCCATCACTCGTCGTTGGGGGAGGAACCAAGGATGCCGTCTGTGCCCTGGCTTCGATGCTGGTCCCTCACAAACTCTTCAATCTTGTCATCATGAGTAGGTCGCTCTGGTGGACCATCTGGCTTGACTTCGTCTCTAGACGGGCTCTGCTTCCCAGGTAGGATTTTGGCGGCAGCGGGGACGTATTCAGTGACTGCAATGTGTCAGGTAACAGTTCGATGTGAGATTCAGGTGATCTTACTCTTCTCGACAATGGGGTTCGGCTTTTGGTTCTCTGCAGCTCGAGTATCCTCCGCAGCCTTGTCGAGCTGCTCCTTGAAGGTCTCTTGCTGAGCATCTTTGGCCGGACCATATTCTTGGGACGTCATGTTTGCTTGTGTGAATAATCTCAATTTCCTGTTGAAGGGAGAAGTTTAAAGATTCAAGATCTGGAAATGAGAGGACAAGCCGGCAGTTATCTTCTTATCCCTGTATCACATCAAAATTCCTTGTTCTCATCTCGGCATACGCAATCGATGGATCGTGAAACCCAATCCAATTCCGTAGCTGCAAATCATGGAGGGTGACGTCAAGTCGCAGAGACCGCGGGGTCATGTCCCTCCTCCCCGATAAGTCCCGATAAGAAAAATGCTATCTTATCGGTAGACGCTCATGGGCTGACCATCACCAACTTTTGATACCGCTCCGAGGGGTATTTTCTCAGGGTACAACCTACAGTCTTTTTTTTTTTCTGTTTGTTTGACGAGACATAGAGACACTTCCAAGATGGCACCGATTCCCATCACCATCATCACCGGCTTCCTCGGCTCCGGAAAGACAACCCTCATCCTCAACCTCATCCCCCAACTCCGCGCCCAGAACCCAGACTACAAGCTTGCCCTCCTCAAGAACGAGTTTGGCGACCTCGCCGTCGACTCTCAGCTCGCCGCAAACTCTGCCATCTCGGGTGTCCAGGAGCTCCTCAACGGGTGCATCTGCTGTAACCTCGTCGGACAGCTGGGCCCTGCGCTCAAGGAGCTCGAGGAGAGCGTTCGTCCCGATCGCATCGTTATTGAGACGAGCGGTTCTGCGTTTCCGGCTACGCTTGCTCTCGAGGTTAACAGGCTTGCTCGCGACTCGGGCAAGTATGTTCTTGATGGTGTCATCAGTGTTATTGATGTCGAGAACTGGCAGGGTTATGAGGATACAAGCTACACGGCCCGCATCCAGGCGCGATACACGGATCTGATCGTCTTCAACAAGTGGGAGAATGCCGGCGAACTGCGATACGATGAGTGCCTCGACCGAGTCGGCGACCTCGAGGTGGATGTGGCCAAAGTCAAGAGCGACAAGGGTTGTGTGGCTATGGATCTAGTCTTTGGTGTCGATGGAGGTCTTGCACAGGAGTTGACCGAGGCAGAGGTCAACCAGACCAACGGCCACAGCCACAACCACTCCAACGGTGACAAGACCAACGGACACTCTCACACCCACCAGAACGAAGTCGAAGTTCTCTCTATCGAGCTCAAGGCCGAAGACCCCTCAGCACGCATCTCCACCGACAAGCTCATCACCTTCCTCTCCGCGGCGCCCAAGGATGAGGCCTACCGCATCAAGGCCCTCGTGTCACTCTCCTCAACCCCCACAAACTCAGACCCGGATATCCCCAAGCCCGAGGATAGCGCTTCGGGGAGGTACATCCTCAATTGGGCTTTTGGCCGCTGGACTTTCACACCTGTCGCTGAGGCGCTTCAGGAGCACGACTCGAGCAGCGATGTCACGCTGCGCATGACCATGATCCTCGCTCGATATGAGAGCGGCAAGTGGAAGAAGAAGCTGGAGACTGGCAACTTTATCCAGCTTGAGGGAGGTGACGCCAGTGGTTTGACCGTTAGGAGAATACTATAGAGAATAGAAGATAGATGTTGGTGGTGTAGACTAGATGAGATGAAGCAGAGGATATCACGAAGACATGAAAAAAAGTTGGGATGAATTGGATAGAGTATAGACTCTCTGGTTTTGAATGAAAAGAACGCTTGCTACCTAGATAAGATGGAATACAGGACGCCACACGCTACCTACTGAATACAACAAGATCCACAACCACCATCACATAAAACGTACATAGCCCTCCCAATCTACATGAACAGTCTATATCCAGCCCGGTCCCGGATTAACAGGGCTGGCAAATGCCCCGTCATACTCATCCAAGCTCAACTCTCTCTGCATGAAACCTTGCACCTCTGGAGTCGTCACCTTGGTCTGCTTCCGTCGTCCGGCGTCAAAGTTGCCCTCGTCAAAGTAGTAGTCGGCCCAGTCGTCTTCGTAAACATCGCTCTCTGTGCCACTTTCCTTCCTGTCCCAGGCATCCTCGAATGACTTGCTCTCTTCGGCTGTCGGCCTGACGTTCCAGGGATCGCCAAACATGGAACCGCCCTCAGCCCTAGCCTTGCTATCAATCTCTTGCTGGAATCGCTTCAGCACCTCTGGTGTAGGGAGAGCCGAGAGAGGTGTCGGAGGTGCATCGGCAATCGTCAACACCTTTTGGGTCGGGTGCGTGGCGCTGCTCGGAGATCGAGGTGATGGCGGTGGTGACAGCTGGTTGGCCTCTGGGTCGGATGTGAGAGAGGCTGAAGGGCGGTGGAGGCTCGCAATGGTATCGAGGGACTGAGGGATGAGCGGAGGAGGGCGGTGGTACTTCTTGATAGGCTGAGGTTGCTTATACTGAGGTCGGGAGAAGTTGGCGCCGGGGAGGTCATGGTGAGACTGCGATGGACTGGTTGGGGCCGAGTACTCCTCACCGCAAGTTGAGCAGGTGCCCGAGTTCTCAGCAAGGCCGACATGACACACTCTGCAAAGAAGGTCTGAGCTGCTGTCTTGTCGGATGTGGACGTTGATAGATGGTAGATGAGGGTGCACGGGATGAGAGTTGAGGGCATCATGAACGGCACGCGAAGGTCGACGGATGAGAACGGTCTGGACGGATTGCTTCCTCTTTTGAAAGTCAGATGTTCGCTGGATGGCAACCATTTGGACGGATTGTTTCCTCTTGGACCACTCTCGAGGTACCTCGGTGACCCGAGGGGATGAGGTTGGTGATGCATCGGGACTTCCTCCGGGAGAGAGATTGTCAACACGCTCGAGTCTGACTGTCTTGGCCTCACTGATGATGACGGGTTGAGGCGAGTTCTCCCTGGCTAGGTTGAAGCCCTCCTCGGTAATGTTGCTAATGCGAGCGTCATCATCTGGGACCCGGAGGAAGTCTCCAGTTGCTGTATTGTCATCCTGGGCACCGGTGTCGAACGGGCTCTCCTCCTCCTGGGCGGGTGTAAGCGGTAGAAACGGTGCCGTAAACGGTCCAAAAGTAGACCTCAACGGCGGCTCCGGAGGAGGAGGCGAATGATGCTCCTGCTCCTCCTTCCGGCGCTGGAGCTGCTCAGCAAAGGAAGCCTTCCTCATCCGGATGAGGTACTGCTTGCACTCCTCCTCGCTGGGGATCTCAGCCTCTGTGATCCTCCTGGTGGGGCGGTCGGGGAAGTGCATCATGGTGAACTGCCTGTTCTCGGAATCCCTCATCTTGGCCGTCGACTCCGAGGCTCGTCTGAAGCCCCGGAGCCCAATGAGCCTCGGCGAGAGCTGATCCTTCCAGCTAAACTTGATGTTGTCCTCGCTGGGGTTACTGCTTCTGCTGCTGCTGCGTGAAGGCATCGCAGAGGATGATGTGTGAGGGAAAGTTGAGGAGAGGAAGAGTTGTTGAGCTCCGAGACAAAGAAGGCGGGATAATGTTTCATAAAAAAAATACCTGCCAAGTTATAAGTAATTACGCGGTGGGAATTTCCCCTTCGCTTGTGCCCCCAGAACCTGTCAAGTCTTGTTGGACTGGAATGCAATGTCTGATAGAACGGCTCAAGAGTGGGCGGGCGGCTCTGAACACGGCTGGATAGAGTTCTCGTGGTTGAAGGACTGGGCAAACCTTGTGCGTCTAGTACGAAGCCACCCTCTCGCCCCAGGGTGGAATCGGAGCCTCCGATCAGAAATGGATGCTACCCGTCGGTTCGTCATGTGCGGGTTGTTGCAGTAACTGTGTAGGAGTTGGAGGGGGGGAGGAGAACAAAGAAAAAAAAGAGTTTGCTCCCAACGCTGCGGTTTGGGTAACATGGCATGACGCTGCAGGTGCCTTTACTGAACATGAACAGTACAGTAATAGTAATAGTTCAGCCTCGTGACAACCAGGTCGCAGAGAAGCCCGAGCACCAAGACAAGTCTCTGCTTCTAATAAAAGTTGCAGACAAAAAAAAAAAAGGCTTCCTGTTCCTGTACCTGAGCCTACCGTGAGCCACGCGTTCACCACGCATACCACAAGAAGCCACTGTCGTCTTGTTGGTGATAGCCAGAACATCAGATACCATTCCGATGCATCTTGCCCCTGAAATGCTAGACGCCGTGGACGAGAATTCGCAAAAACTATATCGAGTCTCTATAGTCTCTCTGGACCCTGCCCCATGGATCTAGGTGATACCCGACGCCTCGGAGCCGGTCCTCGAGCATGGCTGTGCCTGGCTAAATCCTTTGTTGGCCATGACTCGGCTGTCGCCAAGCGACCAAATCTTCTCACGCATACTTTGTGCCTAGCCTGGACCCGTGCGCCCGAGCTGACCATTCCAGTCTGTCATCCGTGGGAATGCCCCGGCTTTGTTCCTGGGCCTTTGTTTTAGAGGCTGACAGTTACCGTCATGTTGTTGCTCAGGACCATCAGAGTCGGTGGCAACTCGTTGCACAGCACCTCCACATCCGACAGGTACTGCACCGTTGCCACCTCGTCCAAGCTGGTTCCTTCCGAGGGAATCGGAAGAGTGCTGAGCAGCACGGCCGTTTCCTTGGAGTGCTGGCGCATCAGTTCGTTGAGAATGAGGTGCTGGGCCCTGCTTGGCAACTCGTTGAATGACAGCTCCACCCCCTGCGCCGTGTAAGCCGGGCTTGGCTCCTCCTCCTCCTCCACTTGCGACCCCAGTCTATACCTCTCCAGCATCTCAGGAACCCGAGAACCTTCACCTCTTCCATCCCTTGATCCTTGCGAGTTGCGCCGAGAATTGTATCGAGATTGACTCGTTGAAGGCGGGTGATATACGGGTTGCTCTGCAAAAGATATCGTCCTCCCCTCCTCCTCACCAGTTGCCAACCGAGTATCAGGCATAGGGCGACTGGAGAACTTGCCCAGCGATGATTGCCGCGAGTAGCTCGGCCGTGGCGGCCCGGCTTTTGGTGTTTCCGATTCAGAGCTAGACGGTGGCGCAAAGCTGATGGTTGTCCCCTCTGCCTCGGATGCTATCTTTGTCTCAGGAACCGGCCGGCTGGAGAACCTCACGGCTGATGATTGCCTGGAGAGATTTGGCCTCCCCGGTGTCGATGCGCCACTGCGATATGGCCGCACAGTGTCTCCCCTTGAAGGGCTCGGCGGGCGCACGCGGGGGACCTGTGCCGAAACTTCCGTTGTCTCTCTCGACCCAAGAGTTGGAAACGGCTCGAGCTGAACTCTCCCGCTATCTTGGCGCGGTAAATGATCCGATCGTGATCCAGTTGCTTCTGCAGGTTGGGAAACTGAGAGTTGTGTCGACTGACCCAATCCAACACCTTTGACTGTTGCAGAGGAGGACATTGTGCCGTACGATGTAGCAGTTGTATCACCAGTCGTGTTGGACCTCCGGCGCCGGCCAAATCGTTCCCAAAAGTCCCCGTGTACCCTGTCATCAGACTCTTGACGATCTGTGTGTGACAATAATGGCCGTTGTGCTGGGTCACTTGGTCCAACGCTATCATCGTCAACGGCATTTGAGAAGCCGTAATTGTAGCCCATCTCCTCATCCAGATCCGTTGTAGATTGGTCATCGATGTCTTCGTCGTCGCTGCTCGACTCATCCAAGGCGTCATCTGGGAGGTGATGTGTGTGAATCCCCATATTTACGCCCATCTTTGAAAGCATACTAATGGCCGGTCGCCTGGGCATCTCGGGAACCTCCACCACACTCGCACGTCGCCGCTCATAGAGCTCCTCGTGTGGATTATACACACCAGGTCTTCCAGATGTAGAGTCAAAAATGTGCGCCAGATGGTCAAACTCTTGGGCAGAAGTCATGTTGTCTGCTCGTCCTCGGTACATTTGTAGATCATCCCACCATTCTTCGTCTCGGAGGGTGTCGTTGACCATAATTTCCCAATCTATGTCGTGGCTTGCTCCGTGAATAATGAGCTCGTAAGTGTTTAGTTCGCCTGAAGCCAAGCAAAAAACCTTGACTTCAGCATCAATTCGCAGCTTTTCGAGGAGAGCCAGCACTCGACTGTACTCCTCATGTACCTCGCTCTCATACTCAACAAACACCATGACTCGCAGTGTGTAAGATTGTTTCCAAGCCTGGACGCTGTGAAGGATATGTCCGAGTTGCAGAATGAGGGTATCTACTATTTGTAAGCTTGTTGAGTTCACCTTAACAGATCATATACTCACAAGTGTCAAAGTTGGTTGTTAGCAAACTCTTCCCTTCGGCTGTAACTTCAGCCGACATTTGAATAGGCCAAAGATCGATGTACTTTTTAACGTTTCCATCCTTCCTAGGGGTTTCTAGCTTATCAAAGCCGTATCCCACCGCAATGTTAAGTCGATATCGGAGCGCCAGATCTTCAATGATCGTCAGGTATTGCGTTGGGGACATCAAATCCTCGGTCCGGATCACATCAGTGGGGAGGAAGCCCTCCAACAATCTTGCTGATGTGTCTCCTCGCCGACGTTGGGGTGCTTTTCCTTCAGACTTTGGGGGCCGGCGCATCTGAGTCGAAGGAGAAGCGGGGATATCTGGAACGCGGACTTTACTACTTGACTTTCGTAGCTCATTCATGTTGTAGAAACCCATGACGGCAATATTGGGGCGCATTCCGCCGAGTCCTGCCGACAAGATCAGGTTTCGGATCCCCCAGGTGATAGTAGGAGACATTGTTAGTTGCACAAAGGCTTTGATCCTGGAAAACTCGGATATGTAGTTCGTCCAAGCGTGTTGCTGCAGTCTTGCTTCGTGAACCCCAGTGTTGAAGTCGTCCGTCACAATTACATGCCCAAGGATGTATAAAGAGCCCTTCTTCAGCGAGTTGCAGAACTGTATCAGTCTGGTCTGACGCCTTGGGTCGTTGATGAGAAGGATGATGTGCGGTCGCCAGAACTTGATATGTTCCGGTCTGAGACGCAACAAGTACTTTCTCACCTGGTGATAGATGAGGTTCTGGGATACGTCGCCCCAGTGCTTTGGGGGACTGAGGTAGTGGATGAGCAAGAATAGCAAGACGAGAACCGATACTGCGATGGCGGCGTAAGTCTCGTCGATGAAGAACATGGCAAAGGCCGACATCATGCCAGCTGTGAATGCGGTTTGCCAGTTGAAAAACTTGAAACTCGGCCGGAAATTAGGAGCAGAGCCAATCTTGAGGAGGAAGCATGCGAGGTTCATGACGAAGAAGGTCATCTGATAGCCCATGGAGATGAAGGTGGCGATCTGGTTGAGGTCGGCTAGGAGAGCCACCTGAGCAATCGCATATGTCAACAGCAGAGCATAAATAGGCTCATCACCGTGTTTCGTTCCCTTGCTAAAGAATGAGAGACCTGGCAGAAGCTTGTCTCTGGCAAATGCCTGGAATAGCTTGGAGGCTCCAATGAGACCCATGAGAGCGGAGAAGAAGGTGACAGCACATTCGCCAGCGAGAATAACGGGTTGAGATAAGTTGGTGAGCGAGATGGCATTCGGATTTGCCAGAAACGAGGCGTGTGTTGTGCTCGCTGCTAGAGAAAGGATCACGACAAAATAGACGATGAAGGTTGTCAACATGGCCCATAGTGTTCCATGAGGAATGGATCTGCTTGGGTCTTTTAGGTCTCCAGACATAGATGCTCCTGCAAAAATTCCGGAAGTGGCACTGGATATGTGTTAGCAAGTTTCAATTTGGAATATTCGAGGGTCTGATGCCATACGGGAAAAGAATGCCAAAGAGGTCACGGAACGTCTCGAGACCTTTGAACGCGGGACTGCCAAAATGGGGAAGGAAGTTATCGGTCAACGTATCGAGGCTAAGGCCGGTAAAGTGAATACCGAGCTCCTTATCGTGGAAAGGAGTTTTGAAGACGGCAGAAACTGGGATGCTGATGATAGCAAGACACAAGATCGCTAGCAACGCGTTGGAGGCTCGAGAAAAGGTAGCTGATCCAAGGAAACAGAGGCCGGTACATAGAACAAGAGCCGCAGTCTGCAGACCATAGCCAGTCCAATATCCTTGAGGAAAAGCCGAACCCATGTTGAGGCGGATGCAGTCAATGAGACCAACAACGTTCATACTCGCATTGAGAACCTGGGCAAGATAGAAGAGAATGCCAATGGAACCGCCAAACTCGGGTCCGAGAGATCGCGAGATGAGATAGTAGGCACCTCCGCCTTTGACCTCGCCATTTGAAGCAATTGCCGACAAAGAAAGGGTCGTCAAAAGATCGATGCAATATGCTGTGACGAGAAGTCCTTTGAGAGAGGTTAGTATATGACTGATGTGTTGATAACTTGATAATTGGGCTTACCGAGAATTCCCATGAATCCGATACTTCCAATGATGGTACCAAACCGCAAGAACATGAGAATGCTTATGATGTTGAGAAAGACGGGGATGTAGACTCCGGACACGGTGCCCAGCTTGTTGTTGTGTCTGGGCTCCATCATGACAGACGCTCGCCTCTCCTGAAGCGTGCCTATACTGCCTCTTCCATGTCCTCCTCCATTATCGGCCCCCTTGCCATCTGGCTGGTGAGGCGTCGTCATGTTGTGGGCTCAAGATGAGGATAAGCCAACCAGACGAGCGGTCAGTAGCGAGAGAAGCAGCCCGCGATAGTAAGCGGGTGAAGCATCTAGACACACAAAGAGGGGAGAAGACACAAGTGACACCAAGGGGGAAAAAGAGGAGAGAGAAATGATAGTCAAGGTATGATATATTCCAGCCAAACCGTCGGGCAGATCAGGCAATCGGTCGTTAGTGCTCCTAGCTAAGCTGAAGCCTCCCCGTCTCGCATGCTGGTGTGGTTGGTGTGGTGGTCAAGGTGGATAACAGCCGAGTCGCCGCCTTTGGCGCAGCCGCAGCTCCGTCCCATCGTTTACGAATCCAAGACGATCTCGAGACGATCAAGACCAATCAGAGACGCCCTAGCAACCCCAGGGGACGCATTCCGGGCACGATTTGTAGGACAACTCGGCCGGGGGGTTTTCTTGGGCGGCGGATGTGGATGGGATGGCGGGAAACCCTCTGTGCGAGAGGTTGACACTTTTTCGCTTTAGGGGTCCACGGGGTCCATTCCCCGCTAAAGTCCCGTCCATTCCAGCGCCTGCCATGGATCTTGTGTTGCCCAACATCTGCTGCCCAACGCCAGCTTGTGCTGCTCAGATCATGAAGAATCATGAATGTTTTGTTAATATCTTGATATCTACTCGAATAGAGGCGATAATATCACCTCCGATCAGTGGGGAAGCGCGTCATGTGCAGAAAACGGCGCTTTATCTTGTTGCGTGAGTGCAGTATCGCGATACGCGCTGCAGACGGGATCCTGCCGAATGACGTAGGCCACGGCTGGGTTACGGGTGGAGATGATCTTTCAAGTTTCATCCTGGTAGGAAAACCGTCGATAACTGAACCGAAGAGCGGAGAAGCGGAGGAGGGGTTTACGAAGATCACACTTGTCCCGCCGTCCAAGACGAACCAGCCGCCAGCGGAACGGAAGGGAGAGGGGATCGAGATCTTTAACAGAGGACTCGCGGCCTGGGAATGGCTTCACATGTCAAGGTGACCCGAGTCGATTCATCTGACCCAAACTGTGGGAATGATCGTGACACCCCCACGAGCCAGACTGACTGCAGCCGCCAGACAGACAGATGTGACGCATTTCGATGGGGCACTTGGACAGGGTCTGCACAGTCCTCAAGCCAGCGGCAGCAGGAAACCATGCATGTAATTCAGGCTATGAATGCAGAGGTAAGGTGAGGCCTTCTGCCTAGGGTTTACTTGATATTGGGGTTAGTTTCGTATATCGCTCTATTTTGTGCGTGTTATAGGCGCCAGTAGAAGCTCACATGGGTCAACTTGAAGCTAGTGGACGGATACCAGCTATTCCAGTTGCTTCATGGTTTGACAAACCTTGACTGGACTGACTGGCCTACAAAGGCTGGGAATAGTTTCGAGTCAATCATTTGCCCTCTAGAACCGACGTGATCCTTTTCAAGGTTCTCCGAAGCTTCCACAAACACAGTTTGCTGTTAACACTCTCACCACGGGCTCGGACTCGGGCTCGCTCCGTACATCTAGTCAGAACACGAACCATCCATCCACTTGCTCCCCTCTCAAGTAGCACTGCTGCAACATAAGATGACTCGTCCCTCTCACTCCCATCACTCTGACTCGTGAGATATCCCCTCCTCTTGCCGCCTGCTGAATCTGCTAAGCTCCCGAGGTCGGTGTCACGGTGTGCAGTGGGACCCATTCAAGTCCAGGCCTTGGATCTCACTCCCCTGGACTGATTCGCTTCCCGCGTCGAGTTGGGGGTCCCAGCACCTAACCCATCCACTAAAAGGCCCTAGCTAAGCCGGCATCTGCCTTAGTCACCAGACCCAAAACTGCGCCTGCGCCGCCCGAGGGCTTCATCCCGTCCACCAGGGCAGGGCAGCTTCCCACCCATCCCATCACCAGCTGAAGCGAACTTGCCTTTATCTCACACTCTCTCCCTCTCCAACCAAGCTCCAATTGACTCTGTCATCTGAGCCTGCGGTCCTCTCCGTCTTACATTTGTCCTCGCGACACTTTTGGTCATCATTCTTTGTCGTCATTGCTTTTACTGTACCGTATTGATCGCTCTGCCTGGAGATAAGGACCTGGCTCTGCGTCATTCCTCGTCGCCACAGCTCCAGACCTTGACCGACCGTCCGGTTATGCGATAAGACCTCTTCTGGTCTGAATCACAGCAAACATGGCTTCACCGTCGAGAAATATCCTGGATCAACCGGCCAGATCAGCTTCGCCAGCTGGCGGCCAGCCTCGATCGTATTCCACTTCGGTTCCGCGAGCCGACTTGACGGCGCGACTTGCATCTCCCATCCCATCCCAACAACTCGGCACACCGCCCCCAAGAGGAGCCTCGCCTCATCCCGACGCGGGCGAGCGTTCAGATGCCCTTGATGAGCTGACTCCTCTGATGGGAACTGGTACAAGTGTTCAAGGACCTGGTGTATCTGCTCTCGCTGCAGCCCTCTCCAACTCTCTAGGCCAGTCTCCGCCGCGACACGGAACCCCAGCGCGTCTGGGAACACCTCCGATCCGAACGCAGTCTCCTGCCCTCGGCGGTCGAGGTTCAGGTACTCCGACTAACTATGGCTCCTTCGATTCAAGATCACGGCCTGCCTTAGGCACTAGTGCGCCATACGAAGATCCTGAGATTGTCAAACGCCATCTTGTCCAGCCGACGGATGAGAACTCGGTATCAGAAGAGTCATCAATCAAGGGAAACGCCAAAGGAAAGCAGCCCGAGATTGGTGGAGCAGGTTTGCACGACGACGAATTTTCCAGCTTGCGATTGCAGGGCGGCGACGTCACACGCGGCATCTACAAGTGGACTGAGCAAGCCGAAGCGAGGGCCAAGAACCAGCGCAGTAAGAGTTTCGACCTGGGTAGACCCGAACCCGAGGCGGAGATTCTCGACATCAACTCAATCAAGGTGCCTGGTGGCTTCCGAAGAAACCACATTCGACGCGTTGCCCGAAGTCCCAACGGTCAGGGAAGCCACCTAGAGGATGGCTACGATTCCCCCGCAGCCGGACAGCAGAGGCTATTCACCTCGAGTTTCCTGGAGTTTTTGTCGATATACGGCCACTTCGCTGGTGAAGAGCTAGAGGAGGATGACGAAGACCTGGGCCCCAACGAGTACTTTTCATCGGGAGAGGATACGGACGAATACGACTCGGCAGACGAACGGGAACCGATGGAAGACAGCGCCCTATTGACTCCCTCGAGACGTAGGCGCAGACGAAAGGTTCGTGGCGGCAGCGGCAACAACAGTCCCATGAACGCGGCGCTTCTGCTCCTTAAGTCGTTCGTGGGTACTGGTGTGCTGTTCCTCCCTCGCGCGTTTCTCAACGGAGGCATGCTCTTCAGCAACCTGGTCCTCTTTTTCGTTGCTGCGCTCAGCTATTACTGTTTCGTGCTCCTCGTCCGGACCCAGCTGAGGGTTGGTGGTTCCTTTGGTGATCTTGGCGGCGCCCTCTATGGAAAGCACATGCGAACGCTTATTCTGGCATCCATCGTCATCAGCCAGATTGGCTTTGTGGCTGCCTACACCGTTTTCACTGCAGAAAACCTCCAAGCGTTTATCCGGGCCGTGTCCAACTGCAAGACGTCAATTAGCGTCCCATGGCTCATTCTGATGCAAATGGTCATCTTCCTGCCTTTCTCTCTCCTGAGAGATATTGGAAAGCTTGGATTCACAGCTCTTATTGCTGATGCCTTTATCCTTATTGGACTAGCGTATCTTCTATACTACGATATCCTGACGCTCAGCGAGAACGGTCTTGCCGACATCATCATGTTCAACGAGAAGGACTGGACTCTGTTCATCGGAACAGCCATTTTCACTTTCGAGGGTATCGGACTTATTATTCCCGTGCAAGAGTCGATGAGGCACCCCGAAAAGTTTCCTAAGGTCTTGCTTATCGTCATGGTCATCATCACGGTGCTCTTTATTGGAATGGGCGCTGTCTCCTATGCCGCGTACGGATCTCACACGGAAACTGTGGTGCTTCTCAACCTTCCTCAGGACAACAAGCTGGTCAACGGTGTCCAGTTCCTTTACTCGGTCGCCATCTTGCTCTCGACGCCCCTGCAGATCTTCCCAGCCATCCGTATCGCTGAGACAGAGTTGTTCACTCGCAGCGGCAAGTACAACCCTTGGATCAAGTGGCAGAAGAACATTTTCCGATTCTTTGTGGTTATGCTGTGCGCAGCCATCGCTTGGATTGGAGCGGATCATCTCGACAAGTTTGTAGCTCTCGTGGGCAACTTTGCCTGTATCCCCTTGGTCTACATCTATCCGGTAAGTTATTTATTGATTTGTATATTGATCATAATGCTAACGACAACTAGCCCATGCTTCACTACAAGGCCGTCGCTCGCAACAAGTTCTGGAAGTGGTCTGACATGATCCTGTGTGTGTTTGGTTTCGTCGCCATGGCCTATGCCACGAGTCTCACTGTGCTGAGCTGGGCCAACGCCGAACCCAAGGCTCCGGGATACTGCGACAAGAAGGGTATGGGATTTGGATTCTAAGCTGTACGCTCATTTGGTGTCGATAGTGGGTTTGCTTGGAGTACGTGTCTGGGAGAGATGAAGAGAGTCGCAAGGCTCATTGATGTTGTGTACTCGAGATTGTCTGCACATAGCATTTCGGTTTACTTGATAGATTGTAGCATCTGGTATGGGTTGAAGGGAGTTGGAAGACAGCGTGGTTTTGTAGTTTAGATGAATGCTAACCAAGGGCTTGTTAGCATCCATAATCCATGTCAATCATTCTCTCAATCTATTTCTCTTGTGAATCTGTTTAGCAATTCTCCCTCGCTGATTCGGCATCATCGGTGGGGGCCGGCTCTTGATGCCGGAAAGTGGGGGATCGGTACTCGGAGACCGAGGCCCCGGTTCCACAAGCTCCCTCAATTGATGATGAAATTGTACTTGATAAGCACCGTCGCAAAAGCCCGGGCCGTGATACTCGGGGCTACCACCACTATCCCCGTTCCGCCCGCCGCCTTAACTGGGTCTTGATGCCCGCGATGCCCACGGTCGCTTCTACACTCTTTACACATTGATCATGCCGCCCCGACCGTCGATACGCCTAAGCTTTGCCGGCCTCTCCCCGGCGCCGAGGAGGGCCTTTGCGCACAAGGCCCGGCATAGACATCCACCTCCGCCGCCGTTCAATACCGTTCCTACATGTCCGGAGCCGACATGTGGATGCGCCGATACCCCCGCCATGCCGGAGGGTCTGCCTCTTGACCGTGAGGGACCGCTCAAGGCTGCTATTCCAGGATACGCGGAGCAGGTACTCGTGTGTACAGACAAGTCGGATTGGCCTTCGAGGATAGAGGAGGATAATAGTGGTGATAACTTGGCGGCGGATTTGAAGGAGTTGTTTGGAAGGGGCGGGACATATAGTGATGTAAGTCTCCTTGTCTGAACCACCCAAGCTCGTACTAATTGGTACTATTTAGCCATTCCACAACGTCTCCGTCCTCAACTCTTCCTTTCCAAGTTCCATACCGCCCCGTGTCGAAGTCCAGACGACATCCGCATACCTCCTCCCCAGCTTTAAATACGTACCCTTCCTCCCGCGGATATCCTTCGACAGCGTCCAGGCCCTCGCCAAGGGCTTTCTACTACCCAAGAAGCTACACTCTGCACACGAAGGCCTCTCACCCATCCACCGCGATCGGCTCACACGTAAAGAGGCATACCAGGGACTGTTACCAGGCGTACAAGACGTGCGGGATGTGTTGGTGTTGATATGTGGACATGGTGGGCGGGATGCCAGATGTGGGATTATGGCACCTGTGTTGGAGACGGAGTTCAAGGAGAAGCTGAGGAGCGAGGGATTGGATGTGCTACAAGGCCCCGTGCAAGTACCCATAGGCCTTGAAGAGGTACAAAGGATACAAGGCGAAGCAGGTCCCGAAGGAACAACAGCAAGAGTCGGACTAATAAGTCACATCGGCGGACACAAGTTTGCAGGCAACGTCATCATCTACCTCCCGCCGCACATGAAAATAGGAGACATGCCGCATCCGCTGGCGGGGCATGGGATCTGGTACGGAAGGGTTGAACCGAAAAATGTAGAGGGAATTGTGAAGGAGACTATCTTGAAGGGAAATGTTGTGGCGGATATGTTTAGAGGTGGGATTGATGCTCAGCGGAAGATGCTGAGGATGTAAGAGTGGATGGATAGGTGGATACCCAAAAGTGTATGAGATGAAAGAGCTGAGAGGAAAGTGTGTATACTAGAACTTATATCCTACTCTCAAGTAAAGAAATACTTTACAGAACGTGTTTCTTGACTTCAATTGGCAATAGTGTTGGAGGTAGTTGAGGCTATTCAGACTCCTCACGTGACCGCGGACTCATGACCCTCTCATCCTGTTCCTAGGTTGAATCTCAACAACAAGGTGTCCAAGGGAAACTCAACCGCACGACAGCAACAAAGCATCTAATCCCTATCTTTCATTATCGTCACTCATTTTCTCATTCCAATTTTCTACCTTTTACTGGATATTAAGGCTTTATTCTAACGAGAGAAAACTTCTTCATCAGAGTTGACACCTCACTCTCATCGCTGAGCAGCATCAATACGACATCGTGGCAGCTACCATGAAGATATATACAAGTTTATTGCGGGTCAGGGGTCAAGGGGGGAGGTTTATAAACACACCTAGACCTCATTGGAGCAGGATCTCAACACCTCGACCCAGAGCCTTCAACTATCCATGTCAAACTCTCTCAACCTCACGATACCCTCAAAAACCAGGCTTTTCCGCGCCGAAGCAAGCAAGAATCCTATCTCCTCTCATATTCATCAGCCTCATAATCGGCGGTGTCGGCTATTACCTCGCCACACCGCACTCTAAACCAGACACACTCAACGACATCTCGTTCGTGCCGTACGCCATCACGCACCGCGAGGCCATCTCACCAACCTCATTCGTCATCACTATAGTCCCCCACAAACCTAGCCCCTCGCCGCCATACCTCACTACCTCGAATACAAGTTCGCGATGGAGCCATCCCCTCTGGTCCGTGGAGTTCAAGCAGCCTGAAGTCCAGATCTCAAGGCACTACACGCCCTTACCGCCCCTAGCGAGCGAGGATCCTACTGATGGCGCTCTTCATTTCTACATTCGTGCTGTGGGAGATGGCGAGATGTCCCACTACCTCGCCCGTCGACAGGTCGGACAGGACGTCTTCCTCCGCGGACCGCACGTAGGCTTTGAGCTCGCTGAACGACTAGGCGAGCATAAGCGCCTGGTGTTCCTCGCTGGCGGTACGGGTGTCGTACCGGGCATGCAAGCTGCAAAGGCGGTCCTCGAAGCGAGCCCTGATGCCAGTGTGGACTTGCTCTGGGCTGTGAGGAAGAGGGAAGAGATACAGAATAGTGCGGCTCCAAAGCAGTCATCATGGAAGTTTTGGCAGGAGAAGAAACCGACTACTCTTGGCCTCGAGGTTGAGGACCCCAGCCCTGTGACCAGACGGTTACAGGATCTGAAGGCGACCTACGGCGATCGCCTAAACATTCAAGTCGTGGTCGACGAGGAGGGTACCAAGTTCCAAGACAAGGATATCAAGAACGCCATCCTCGCCTCGCCCAGCACCGCCGTCTCGCCTAGCTCAGGGTGTCGCTTCCACGACCAGATGATGCATGTTCACGCTTCCGAGTTTGCTCTACCCGATGCCCCTGGATGTGTATGCACACCGCCCGAGGGAACACCTCTCGGCAAGAACCTCCTCATCGTCTCCGGTCCTGACGGCTTCATTGAGCACTACGCCGGGGCCAAGATCTGGCTAGGTGGACAACAGACACAGGGACGCATAGGCGGTATTGCCAGCCAACTACAACGTCAGAATCCCACAATAGCGCAAGACTGGCTAGTTCTCAAGATGTAGGGAGCACAAAGATAATAAAAGAGTTGTATAATTTCTTGCATGATTGGGAGCACTCATAACGAGGCATGCAATGTCATCTATGGGGTACAAATAGAAACCTATAATTTTACTAGCAAAAACACTGAGGGGGCAACCGTCTACCGCATGATCCAACGCCAGCACGCAAAAAACTCCAACCCATTTGATGTGAGATGCTCTAATGGCTCTGAACCTTTCTGTACGACGGAGGCTTCATCGTTCTCCTAATCAACTTGCCAGCGTACGGTGGGATCAGTGAGATGGCGCCAATAGCTAGCACGCGCCATACAAATCCCCTGTGATAAAGTCAGTATGGTAAATGTGTTGTTGGACAAAAGGACTCACAAGGTGATCAGGAACTTGAGATCAAAGTACCCGCCGAGGAATGGTATCGAACCAATGTACAAAAGAAACGTGCCGACGATGCTAATAATCATGATGGGATGCCATGTAGTAATTTCAATAGCAACCATGAGGAGCTCATTAAGGACGAGGACGGTGTAGCTGACGGCAACCATCTTGGGGCCGTCAACCTCAGTAAGGATCTGCGATAGGCCCTGGATCATGCCGCCTTGGTAGATGGACACAAAGACCCAGACGAAGAATGTCCTGTATGATAGGGAGCGCCCAGTGGTGAGCTCCTTGTATAGTTCTGGGTACAAGTTGGCGAGGTTCTCGTCGACGTCCTTGTCTAGCACAAGTGACAAGACGGGAGCCGCGGTGTAGCAAGTGGCATAACCAACAAGAAGCCAGTCCTAATAATGGTCAGCATGGGAAGATATATACTGAGTCAGAGGCAAACGAACCTTGTACAAGCCCTCAGGCTCAAACTTAATGGCAATACTGTACATAGTCTGGCACACAGCGATAATCAGACCACGGTGGATAACAAACTGAGCGAGCTTAGCGCTTCTCTTGTAGCTGTTTCGACCATGCCAAACCAAGAGCTTGACGAGATGGCAGAACTGTTCGATGGAAAAGTCGGCCGCCAGACTGGCCTGTCGACCCTCCTTGCCCACAATACCGACACCGACATCAGCAGCCTGAATCATGGAGACATCGTTGCCACCATCGCCGATACAGCACACGCGCTTCTTAGTATACTCGCGGATGAGCTTGGCCACCTCGGCCTTCTGGTTGGGTGAGCAACGGCAAGCAACAACGGTGGGGAGCTGAACGGCGATGGAGATGAACTCGATTCGGAAATGTGTCAGGAAGAGTGCCAGACTCTCACCATCGATAAGTAGACAGGCATCGGTCTTGCTGCGGAGGAAGTCGAGATGCTCCTGAGCGTTGTCCTTCTTCTTCAGCTTGGCAACTGTATAGATGTATTGACCACGAGCAACCAACTTGGAGCTGACAGCTACACATCTTGCAGTTTCCACCTTGTCACCAGTCAACATCCAAATCTTGATGCCAGCATTGCGGAGAAGCTCTAGAGATGGTTTGACGTCCTTCTGCAGCTTATCCTCAACACCAGTGACACCGATGAGTTCCAGGTCGCGCTCGAGGTAGTGAGATACAACTCGCTGCATACCAGCATCACGTCCGCTGATGGACAAAGACGCCTCCTGATATCGAGAAGAGAACTCTTGGTACTGCTGTGACGAAAGCTTCTTGCGGCCAACAACGAGTGTACGCAAGCCTTCGCGGGCCATGTTGGCCGTCTCCTCGTCAAGCCAGTCGTTGGCTGCCACGATGGAGCTCATGACAGTGTCGGCACCCTTTTGGAAGAACCAGATTTCTCCACTCGACAGGTCAGGGTTCTTGACGTTGATGTTCTCGTGGAAATGAACAATGATACCCATGCGCTTGCCTTCAGAAGTGAAAGGGAAGACGTCCAGGATCCGTACTCGAACCACGGGTCGCTTGCTGCCAGTGAATTCCAGAACCATGCTTTTGCGGTCGCGATACACGAGTCTGAGACCCACAGATTCTGTCCACTTGACAATGGCAATCTCATCAGGGGAAGATGCCTGGTAGCCAGTCACCTCCTTCCCATCCTCGATATCCACAGTTGGCGTGACATTGTGGCAGAGCGCAAGAGCAAGTACAACATCACGGACTCGTGTGCCAATCTCTCTCCTTGTACGTGTTGTGCCCATGGTTGCAGTGCTCGAGTATGTTGACGACGGAGTGATGAGCATGTTGTTAGATGCGTGGTCCGTCGACGGCGGGATATAGAATCCTTGTCGTACATATGTCGAAACTTCATCCATTGCCTCGTTGGCATACGATACAGTGCCGACGTGGATCTTTTTCATTTCCATCTCGTTCTGTGTGAGTGTGCCAGTCTTGTCGCTCAGGAGATACTCGATACGTCCTAGGTCCTCAGGAATTGTACTTGTTCGAACAACAGCTCCAGGCATGCCTGGATCACGTTGGATGAACCAAGAATATGCGCTCTTGCCCATGTCAAGGTTGACACGGAGACTGATCGGGACAATGGTCGAGAAGAGAACCAGGAATCGCATAATCTTGACGTACCACACGTTGCCTTCGGTAGTACCAAAGCCCTCCAGCGCAACCAAGATGATGGAGAGAGCAAGAGTCAAGGCGCAGAGAATCTTGGTCAACGAGTTGATCTCATATTCGAGCAAGCCGGTCTTTGATCGTGAGGGAGCTGTGGACAGGGCGGATCTCGTCTGAGGGCCGGTGTACATAATGACAGCCAGAGTAGTAGCTTGGGAGGCAATAACGGTGTTTGCCCAAGCCGTGTTGTCAATCGAGAGAGCAGCCGTTCGTGAAGCGTCCGAGTCTTGAGCCATTGCGTGGTGCGCCAACGCTTCCTTTCGTGAGTCGACGAGTTCAATGGTGCCCAGGAACTCGTTGACCTTTCTATCGGGCTTGCCACCAGTAACGCGAAGACGGACAAACTCCTCAGTCGGGAGGTTCTGGGTGAGAGGTGATGCAAGTCTCAGCTTCCAATCCGTCTCGCCGTCAAGCTGGTCAGTCCTGATAAAGGTTTCGCCTCCTGGTCCGCTTTCCTCTTCCTCGGGAGTGTCTTCCGCAGGCTGCTTTCCCTTCCCAGCAGGGTCCGCTTCACCATCGCCAAACGCCAAAAGGGACTCCTCCTCGGCCGGCTCATCGGGGATTGGGGCAGGGGTGGGTGCCTCAGAAGAGAAGCACTTTAGAATCACCACGTCGGCGGGCACACGTTGGCCCTTGGTGAGCTTCAGAACGTCTCCAACCTTCAAGTCCTTTGACTTCCGGCTGACCTCCACGACCCGGGAAGAGGGCGGGGGAGCCTGAGAATCGTCCTCCTCAAGGATATCTGAGAGACTGTCCCGAGCTCCCTTGGGTCTCTTGGATTGCTTCCGCAACAGTTCCGACTTGAGCATCTTTCGTTGCCGCAGAGGAGTCTGTGTCGAATCGGAATCCTGAAAAACAAGAATATTGTACTCCTCCGAGTTGGCTTCCGTATCTCTCCGTCGTCGGGCAATGTCATCAAACGCCTCCTTTCCCATAGTAATACAAAGCACAAACGCCAAAGGGGCGATGTACGTCAAAAGATAACCGATCCTTAGAGCGGGTATGGCCTGCGAAAGGGCCACAAGCAAGAAATACATGTTGAAGAAGAAGGAGAATTCGTTGTACAGCGTGATGGGGAGGAACGTCAGGGCCGTGTATTTGGCATTGGATATGATGTTGTTCGGGAATCGTACGGGTTGTGTCGAGCCCACAGCCACATGTCGGGATGCGGAAGGGTCATCGTCTTCTTGGTCGTCGGCATCGTTGGGTTCGGGCTTCTTAGACCCCGACATGAAGCTCGGAAGTCGCAGGCGGGATGTGACGCGATCCGAATTCATGGATCTCTGGCTTTGCGAAGTTTGGTCTCCCAGTAACGGTCGGTCATCTTCGCCGTATCCGCTTCCCTCCGACCACCGCGGTCCATTGCCATCCTGTTCTCCCTCCAACAGCGCCTGAGAATGCTCGTCGGTTCCATCTCTATCCTGGCCGAGGTCGCCATACCCCCGGTTTCTCTTGCTGGCGCGCCGCAACCCACCCATGCGCAGATTTCGCAGGGCTATCCGCGATGTCTGAGGCTCAGCCGAGAGCCGCTCGTGGTTGGCCCTGGGAGCTGGGGAAATCGATATCGGGTCGAGCTCCTGGATGTCCAGTTCGAGGTCCGAGTCGGAATCATGCGTGGGGGAGTCGGGTGGATCGGATGATCGATATGAAGGTGAAGGAGTCATGCCTGGTCAAGCTCCAGGCGGTAGAGAGGTATGCGGAGGGTTGTCGAGGTGAGGTGAAGGTGAAGGTGAAGATTGGGAGATGGAGAGCTAGCGATTCTGCTCAGACATGCTGCGTCCAAGGTGCCACGGTAGTTGTGGATTCTCCCTTTATCTGGAAGGGTAGTTCGTGTGTAGGTTTCGGTGCTTCGCTCTCCGCGGGTAGCGTAGTCGTCGTTTCTGTAAAGTTGGCTTGTCTTGAGCGTCGTCGGAGGCCGTCAATGTCCCTAGCTCTTATCCGTGTCGCATCGCAGGGTCCAAGTCGCAAAAGGTCCACGCGTCTAGTGTCCGGCCGGCGAACTGATAGTAGCTTCTGCAAGGTAAAGCAAGGGCTCAAAGGGGTTGTCGAAGACAGATTCGTCTGTTATGATTCGAAATTATTGGGGAATGGTGACTCGTGGCTTAGGGGACAGATCATTTGAAGTCACGTATTATCTTGTCGCAGCCTGTGCCAAGCGTCTCGGGGGCGACGTGCTGGTGCTGTAAGAGCGTTCCGCTGTCACCGGCGGTACTTAGAGGGACCTGAGATCCAAGGCTTGCTGCTGCGTTCCAAAAGTATTTCCATGTACTCATTGTGGGGCCAGAGCTGCTCCTTGGAGGATTACGTGGAGGGCGGCGCTACCCTGAACAACCACGACATCTCAACCGCATTCAGTATTATTCTATTGGTGCATAAAGAAGCTGCCTAAATGTTTTGATGGGTTACTATGACTGGTATATGACGAAAAATCCATTCCTGAAAGATTGTTGAGAAGCAAAGGTATATCAAAGATGAGATTCTAAATTCACACAAGGTCTCATGGGGTTATCATGAGAGCCATCAAACAACCCACGTGCTCGCCTCCCCAGACTAACGCCCAGACCCCTTACCTATCTACCCATGGAGTCCCATATTAACATTGCTACATTTGCGTGAGTCTGTTCGTTTAAACATCATTCATATCAATCCTTGTGAACCTCGCTCTAATCTATCTTATTGTGGTGGAAACGTGAAACTCGGCTCCTCTAGCAACTCCATCATCTGTTGGTTACTGCTGAACCACTCCTCTAGTTGTGCCGTATTGCCCATCCACATCATGGTGTTTGCACCCCTTTGGCCTTCTGTTCCGTCTAGCATACCGGGATCTGCCAAAGGTTGGGAGAACGCTCCGGCCTGAGCTGGACCTAGACTGGTTGGCTGTTGCTGCTGTCTATTGTCGATGTGAGCTGGCGGGAAGCCTAGCGCGGTGAGGTAGGTGTTCAACTCGGCGCTTGCCTGAGCTTGGGTTTGGTCTGCCGGCGGCGTGCATGTTCGAAACTCGATGTAGCGGAGCGCGACAGTATAGAGAACCTGGAATAAGCGGTGCGTCTTTGCTGCTGCCTCTGATAGAGTTACGGAGCTTTCAGTTGACGTGCAGAAGCTGTGCAGACGAGCAAGATCCGCCTGGTCCTGTGTCTCGATGACCTGACAGAAGACGACGATAAAAGGGATAAAGGGAGCGAACAAGAGAGTCCTGGACATGTTAGTTCCGACCGTGTGACCGAAAAGACACTCTATTTGGGAATAACATCAAAGACTACTTACCAGTGAACGTAGGAGGGAAAGTAGAAAGAATTATCCTTGCCCAAGAGGTCCATGCAGTCTTGGTGTCGTTGAAGAGTGGCCCGCGCCGCCTCTACGCATTCTGGGATAAAGGTAGATCTTGAGTTTGCGGGGAGAGGACTGGCGCGATAGATAAGAGTCAAGAGAGATAGCCGGAGCACATCATCAGAGACAATGACAAAGTCCATAAAGTAGGAACCCATCTTCTTCTTTGCCTCTTGTAGATGCTTGGCCTGCATAGCAACATTAGACCCAAAGAACTGAGGAAGACTGGTGAAATAGGTAGAAACTTACACTCAATATTGCCGACTTTTTCGAGATCCCCCGCATAGTGTTCACCAAAGTCTGGACTCGGTATCTTCGCACATCCTCGGGTTGATTAATAGAATCGGGACTGTACAACATTTCATAGATCTGTCCCTGACATCGCGCCGTAGTAACCCAAAGAGCAGCAAAAGCCGCCAAAGGGGAATCATCGATTTTCTCCGCGTCAGGGATGGGCACTGTGATGTCCCAGTCTTGAATGGTCGAAGCTCGACCAAGGCGGAGTGACAAGCTCTTGTCAATAAAATAGACGTTCCAGAAGAGAAACTGCTTGCGCTCCGCTTCGCGGGGATCGTCGTTCTTCATGGTTGAGGCTCGATGGTATCCCAGTGTCTGACATAATTCCGAGGCCTTGCAAATAAGGGTCCATGAGAGCGATGGCTTCGAAATCTCGATAGCATGAAAAGCCTGAGACCTGTTAGTCTGTAGCAATTGTGGCGTTCTAGAACGGGATCACATACTCCTAGCAAGAGTGCAGATATCATACTTGAAGTTAGGGGTAGATGGAAGGGTAGGTTGGCCAAAGCAGTTTCAAGGTTCCCCTGAAGTATTGGTATGTAGCGTTCCAAGTCTTCTCGCTCATCCTTGTCTGTTGAACGTTGTGCCCGTTCGAAAAAGAGATAAAGAAGACCGGCGTTTGTCAGGATAAAATCGGATTCAGAGAAGTCCTCAACAAAGTAGACATTCATACAAACGCTCGAGAAACGCTCCAATGGCAAAAATGCATGAATCCAGGCGGATACTTCTGAAGGTTCGTCTAAGTGGTGACAGAATATTAGTACCAAGGTTGAACGCCAAGCGTATGCGTATGACCTGTCACTACTTACTTTCACACTGCCGTATTAGAGCGACGGCCTTTTGGATTGGTGGCATCTCACTACCTTTGAGCGAAGGACGTGGGAATATCGTCGCGTTAGGATAGTTCATCTCTGTAGAGACCGTCTGCTGCTTCAAAGAAGTGACAATGTGGTGGAGTGAGTCTAGAGTCTCACGCAACTCAAGGCTGGCGCCTTGTAAAGCCCCAGTGTTTACGGCATTCTTGAGAAACTCGTTTGCGAAAGCACCGTGGGCTGCCAGAGAAGATTCACCTTCAACCACTGGACTGTCGGCTGCTGGCTGAGCGGCATGGCTAAATGGAGTTGAAACGGACTGAGTCGAGGGCTGACCACCAGCTGTATCAGGGCTTGGAGTATCTTTCTGGCTTGTTGGAGGTATAGAAGGCATGTTCATCTTCATGTCCCGCAAGAGCTGGGTGACCGCCTCGAGGCGTCGGTCGATGAGATCGATCTTCCTCTCACTAGGCACATGACAATGAGCTGTCTGAAGGTCCCCATGACGGCAAACGGAAGTGGCATGATGAACAAGAACAGATCGGCCAACGGACCGAACCGCAAGATCTGGAGTCGGCTGGGGAAACTCACTATTGGGCGGACAAGAGGATCCGGGTTCGCTTCTCCTTGGGGCGCGAGTCTTGGTGGGTGCAGGGGATCTTGGCGTGGACACAGTGAGCGCAGGGTGAGTTTCTGTCGCAGCGAATCTATGTACGTTGATATCTTCTTAGCCACGATTATCGACCAGCATGGGATTCAGCCGCAGGTAAGCTAGGACCATGCTGTCGATGAGATGAGCCCTCAAGGTGGCCCCATGGCCAGGCCGACTAGCTCTGTGGGTAACTGGAGCTCCCACGAACCAACACCTGCATCATAGATTGATAAACGTACCTTTCGAGTCCGGCAGGCGTCGCACTAAGCAGATGTAAGCTGTGGAACGGCATGGGGGGTATAATAGAGTTGCTACGGCTGGGGCAGACTGACGGCTCGCCTAACGGTTGTATTGGAAGTGGCTTGTGGCTCATCTGAGCCCTCATCAGGGCCATCGGCATCAATGCCAAGCTGAGACCGAAGATCATCCGCCATTGTTTGGAAACGTGAGTGAGGCTCAAAAGGCGACGGGAATCACGGACAGCGTCTGGCGGGGAGCGGGGGATGACAACCAGGGTTGCTGTGGCACTGAAAATGTCAGGTCGGTAGAGGGGATTGGAGGGGGAGGAAGTCAAGGGAGGGCGAGACCGGACCCCGAGAAAATGAAATGCCGAAGCCGTTTGTGCGGGATGGTGACTTACATGGCGTTTTGAAAGTCGTGATGGAGTTTGAGTGGAGGGCCAGGCTCTCAAAGGACAAGGACGGGACGCGCGGGGTCCGTGAGGGCAGTTTCTATGCCTGGAGGTTCGGGGCCTTGAGAGTGCGTGATGGCGGTGCCCGAGAAGACCGCAACCCGAGTTGACCAATCGGAATAAAGTACCGAAATGCTTGAACCCTTTCTCCAGAGTCGTCTCATTCGCAAGGATTGGGTACCGAAAGCGACCTTGTCTTAATGGGCCCACACGTTGAAAACGGCGGCGACGCCTCTTTGTCCCTTGGAGGAAATCATCGCATCTTTTTGCAGGGCGAATTTCATTTTTTTAAGTGTTGTTTGTCTTTCACGGTCTTGGCCTTTTGCCTTACGGGAGGCTCAGCGGGTCATCATGATCACCGACCGAGGCCATGGCGTTTGGCCAAGAATCGGATCTCTCCAATGAGGCTCCGCTCGGATAGAACACGACGTAACCGAAGACGACGCCGGTGACTCTTTTTGACCTTGATATGGCGTTTTCCTGCCCTGTCATGTCCAGGGAACCGATGGCCAAGAGAATAAGACGGGCACAAGTGGCTGCAATTAAACCCTTGAATGTGAAGCTGTCTTGCTTCTGCTTACAAGGCAATGCCTCGGTGTGCTGTGACCAACTGACGGCCCAACGCCCTAGACCGTGACCCCAATATTAACGGGAGAGAAGCCTGTTCAAACGGGACCCAAGGGATCCGGCATCGCAGGGCTCTCCTGTATATCTTTGCTCGGATAGCAGCTCCGGAAAGTGGTTTTTTTATCCTCCAAATTCATTATCAATCGCAACCCCACTCAGCCCACTTCGGCAGCGGATCTGATAAAGGCAGCTAGCAGCGTGTGGCTTGCATCCGTTCACCAAAAGTGCCAAGGATCACGGTTCGTCCGTCCAGTCCAAGCTCTCTCGCTCACTCCACTCTCCATCGTTGACGAAGAAAAGACCCTTTTCGCCTTCGTTGAAAAACTAGCGGTCCCCCTTCGCTCTGCTCGTTGTGCGCTTCTCTCCGTTTTCTCTCTTTGTTGCGCTCAACCTAGGCTTTGTTTCTTCAAGTAATTGAACAGACTAGCCTCTGCCTTACAAGTCAACCAATCTTTGAATTTGTTTGAGCAAGCATATTACCGGATCTGGAAACAACCAAATAAATCCCCGTCGCACATTTCTTGTGGCATTCGAGCCGCCTCTTTGCCCGCCAGCGTCTTTGAAGTCGCACACACAAAGACGAAGCCATGACTTCAAGTATTAACGAGAAGGAGCTGGAGAAGGAGACGGGAGGTATTAATGCGCCTTCAAAAAAATCTGAGGAGAATGTCGCCAAATCTGAAGACGCCGTTGTCAAGGCAGAGGATGACACCCCTGCCACTCCACCAGAGGAGGAGGAGTTGGAGGGTTCATGGGCAGACTACAAGGTGAGTCTCGAGAAGAGTCTAGAAAATAGCAGTTTTTAACTGTTTTCAAAGCGAATTCTCACGTTTGGAAACGCGTCCGACTATACTATGCAAGGAATTGCAGTTGTCGCTGCCATTGCCTCAGGCGCTGGTATTGCTCTCCAGAACCTCATTCTGGGCAAGTTCATCACCACCATCACCGATTTTACTGCTGGAGACTCTGAGCCTGCCGAGTTCAGGAGCGATGCCGCTGATCTAGCGTGCGTTTACTCATATTTTCAACTCTAGAAGGCAATTTTTACTAACGCTTCATAGCCTGTACTTTGTCTATCTTGGCATTGGCCGATTCGTGCTCTCCTACATCTGGAACACCCTTCTCACTTACACCTCCTATCGCGTTGTCCGAAACATTCGTTACGAGTATTTGCGCGCTGCTCTTCGTCAAGAGGTCGCGTACTATGACTTTGGCACCGGTGGCTCTATTGCTACCCAGGCCACGTCAAACGGTCGCTTGATCCAGGGAGGCATTGCTGAAAAGTTGGGTCTCACGTTCCAGGGCCTTTCAGCATTCATCACCGCATTCATCCTCGCCTTTGTCGTCCAGTGGAAGCTTACTCTCATCTGCCTGTGCATCGCCCCGGCCACCATCATTGTCATGACTGTTGTCGCGACTATCGAGGCTGGTCACGAAGTCAAGATTCTCGAGATCAACGGCCAAGCCAACTCACTGGCTGAGGGTATCCTGGCTAGCGTTCGCACCGTCCACGCCTTTGAGATGCGCGAGAGGCTCGTTGCCAAGTTTGATAAGCATCTCGAGGAAGCCCACACAGTCGGCAAGAAGATTTCTCTCTACATGGGTCTCATGTTCTCTGGCGACTACACCATCATCTACCTCGGATTTGGTCTTGCTTTCTGGCAGGGTATTCACATGCTCTCCAAGGGAGAAATCACCAGCTCTGGTGACATCTTTACGTACGTCTTCCCATACATCATGATTTTCATATGCTAATCAGTTTGTTCAGGGTGCTGCTCTCTGTTGTGATTGCTGCTGTCAACTTGACCCAGCTTGCCCCGTATTCGATCGACTTTAGCCGCGCCATGTCTGCTGGAGGACAGCTCTTCGCCCTCATCGACCGCCAATCTGCCATTGACCCTCTCGACAAGTCGGGCGAGATTCCGTCCGAGACTGTCGGCCATGTTGAGTTGGAGAACATCACCTTCGCCTATCCCACTCGGCCAGACACCACCGTGTTGGAGAACTTCTCGCTCAAGGTTCCTGCGGGCAAGGTCACCGCTTTGGTTGGACAATCGGGTTCTGGAAAGAGCACAATTGTCGGTCTTATCGAGAGATGGTACAACCCCAAGTCTGGTATAATTAAGCTGGATGGTCGTCCTATTGACCAGCTCAACCTGAACTGGCTTCGCAAGAATGTCCGTCTCGTACAACAGGAGCCTATCCTCTTTGAGGGATCTGTATTCGACAACATCAAGCATGGATTGGTTGGAACAGAGTGGGAAAATGCCCCTGCGGAGCAACAGATGGAACGAATCCAGGAGGCCGCCAAGATGGCATTTGCCCACGACTTCATCACCGAGCTGCCAGACGGTTATAACACCCAAATCGGACAACGCGGTGGACTGCTCTCTGGTGGCCAAAAGCAGCGAGTCGCCATTGCTCGAAGCGTCGTCTCACAGCCCAAGGTTCTCCTTCTCGACGAGGCCACGAGTGCCCTCGACCCCCATGCCGAGAGCGTCGTCCAGCAGGCCCTTGATCGGGCATCTGAGGGCCGTACCACTATTGTCATCGCTCACAAGCTCGCTACTATTCGCAAGGCCGACAACATCATCGTCATGTCCAAGGGTGCCATCATTGAGCAGGGTACTCACGAGTCCCTCATCGCCGACGATGGTGCCTATGCTGGACTTGTCAAGATTCAGAACCTCGCCGTTTCTGGTGCCGCTTCCACAATCTCTACTGAGGTTGAAGAGGCCGAGTCTGAGGCTGCCGAGGATTCCATTGAGGCTTCTAAGACGCTCACCAAGTACGAATCTCATGTTGAGCAGCGGATGGAGAGCCAGAAGGAGCGCGACAATTTTGACAACCACAAGGGAGCGGGCTTCGTCTCGATTGTTTTCCGACTTATTCGCGAGAGTCCCGAGATGGCCTGGTCTTACTTTTTCGTCTTGGCTGGAGTCCTGGGAGGAGTCGCCGCCTTTCCTGGACAAGCCTTCCTGCTCGCCAGCATGGTGGATGTCTTCACCTTGACAGGTTCTCACCAGAGAGAGCGCGGCGACTTCTTTGCCTCCATGTTCATCGTCTTGGCTGCCGGCCTCTTCTTCTCCTACTTTGCTCTCGGTTATGCTACTAACAACATTGCCCATTTTCTGAGCCACAAGTTCCGAAAGCAGAGTCTCCATGATATGCTTCGCCAGGACCTTCAGTTCTTTGACCGAAAGGAGAACAACACTGGTGCCTTGGCCAGCCGTGTCGACTCCAACCCCCAGTCTGTCTTGGAACTGATGGGATTCAACATTGCTCTCATCCTGATTGCGGTCCTCAACCTGGTTGCCTGCAGTATCTTGGCTATTGTCTACAGCTGGAAGCTTGGTTTGGTTGTTGTCTGCGCTGGACTCCCGCCCTTGGTCAGCTCCGGTTACCTCAAGATTCGCATGGATGCCAAGCTGGATCGTGATACTTCGAAGCGGTACTCAACAAGCGCGTCTATCGCCTCTGAAGCCGTTACCGCTATCCGGACTGTCTCATCATTGGCCATCGAGGAGTCAGTTTTGAACCAGTATGTCGATGAGCTGAACCACGCCGTCTCTGGCTCCAGGAACGACCTCTTCCGAATCATGATCTTCTTTGCCCTCACACAATCCATCGAGTATTGGTTCCAGGCCCTTGGTTTCTGGTACGGCTGCCGCTTGCTCTCCTACGGCGATGTCTCCATGTACAACTTCTTTGTCGCTTTCCTGGGTGTCTTTTATTCAGGCCAGGCCTCAGCCCAGCTCTTCCAGTTCTCGACCAGTATGACCAAGGGAATCAACGCTGCCAACTACATCTTCTGGCTGAATCAGCTCCAGCCTACTGTTCAGCCAACGCCTGAGAACCGCGACAACAGCCCCAAGCCGGGAAGCTCTGTTGCTATCCACGACGTTCGTTTCTCTTACCCACTTCGACCTCATGCGCATGTCCTCCGCGGCATTGACCTGGAAGTCAAGCCTGGACAGTTCGTGGCTTTGGTCGGTGCCTCTGGGTGCGGCAAGTCTACCATGATTGCCATGCTGGAGCGATTCTACGATCCGTCTAGCGGAACCATCAAGATTGGCGACATGGATCTTCCCGATATCAACCCGCGCCTCTACCGCCGCATCATTGGTCTCGTTCAGCAAGAGCCGACTCTGTTCCAGGGAACTATCCGAGAGAACATTGCCCTTGGTATCGATGACCCCGCTACCGAGGACAAGGACCCTGCCTCTTCAGTGTCGGATGAAAAGATCGAGGCAGCTCTTCGTGCTGCCAACGCCTGGGACTTTGTTTCATCCCTCCCTGACGGTCTTAACACACAGGCTGGCTCGAACGGCGCGCAGCTATCTGGAGGTCAACGACAGCGAATCGCCATCGCTCGAGCTCTCATCCGAAACCCCAAGATTCTCTTGCTCGACGAGGCCACCAGTGCCCTCGACACAGAGAGTGAGAAGATCGTGCAGGGAGCTCTCGCCGAGGCAGCAAAGGAAGGAGACCGCATCACCATCGCCGTCGCTCACCGGCTGAGCACGATCAAGGACGCCGACAAGATCTGTGTCTTCCTCGGCGGCAAGATCGCAGAGGTGGGAACACACCAGGAGTTGATTGCACAGGGCGGGTTGTATCGGAAGATGTGTGAGGCACAGGCTCTGGACAGCTAATGAATGACTCGGCTCTTTGCTTTTGGCAGGAATTAAAAGGGAAAAGTACTAATTTGTAATGATGGCATAAAATACCCCGGAACAACGTATTCGTATCGTACAATGAGATAGAATTGATTGTGTATTTCAACACAGAAAATACAACATGTCAAAAACCCTGAAGTCTTTGATTGTGAGTGAAACAATAGCTGAGTGGTTGAGATGGGAATTCCAACTACCCCTCACCAGTTGTCCCGCCAAACAGACCCCGGAATGAAGCACGGCATGCACCCATCGTAAGGTCAAATCAGTCTCATGCGGTTGCGGGTGAGCATCTCATATGATGTGGTCAGCGGACGTCTAATCAAGCTCAACAATGGCGAAAGAGTTGGGGCTAGATTCCAGTGGTTGATGGGGAACTCAGACACGGACCCGGATAATCTACGGAGCGTGCGCCAAGCCTCCCACTTAGTGGCGCGTGGCGGCCTCGGCCGACGAGTGGAGGAAAGCAGGGAAGGAACCAACGGGCGGTAGTTGCCTTTCCGGGCCCCAAATTTGGGTACATGCCAACTTGCACTTGCGATCTGTACTGTACTTCCAGAACGTTTCCCTTCCAACTCAACTCCATCCGACGCCGATTTTGTTTCCCCGGAAGACCATGGCGAGCCGCGCCTTTGACTAAAGAGAAGACCCGATTCCATTCTTGTATACTAAGTATGGATCCCCTCTTTCCCGGGTTCATTTGCGCCTCATCTACCCCTGAAGTTACGAGCCCTGCTCCAAGCTCCAGCGCGCAGATTAGCTCGCTAGCCCCTTTGCCTTTGCACCGGGACCCTTTTGCTGACACGATCGCGCAAAGTATTTGCTATTCACATTCAACCTCGACCTCTCAACTACGAGCCGACCGCCTGACTCGGCCTCGCGATGGCTTCAGAGTCGCCAAACGCGGCGTGGCATCCGGCTATGATGCCTAATAACTCCCATGCTCCCAGCTCCACCGAGGCACCCGCGGATCCTGCACAGGCGACGTCATCAACAACAGACACGGCTGTGCAACCCAGCAAGCCTGCCGATCAAGATACCCAGTCGCAACCCGAACAGAAGCCCTCTGAAGGAAGCGACGCTGCCAATGCTTGGTTATCGCAAGATGGTGATGATACCGGCGATTCTTGGTTAGCCTCGGAGGTTTCAGCACCTCAACAACCCGAACCCGAACAGCTTCCCGATCAGGCTGCCCCTGAGAAGCCAAAGACAGGGACAGCTTCGCCCTCAAAGGCGCAGACATCACAACACTCCAGCTCCATGTCCTTTGCCCGGACTGTGTCCCACGAAGTGAGCTTCGGTGACGACGACGAGGGAGATTGGAACCTTTCTCGCACAGACACCGACCCCTTTAAGTTTATGCCTCCTTCCGATAGAACAAACTCTTTTCCAGTTGTTCCCCCTATGCAGCCGAACTCGGATATGCACAATCACCAGCCACTTCCCTCCAACCAGGCTTTGGATGTCTTGGAAGAGACGGAGAAGGATGTTGACGCGGAGGAGCAAGCGTACAAGCAGCAAGGTGCTACCGATGGATTGGACGCGCCGCGTCGTGGCCATTCTTCTTCGATCTCCATTGGCGGAGAACTCAAGAGCCCCGAAGGCCAGGCCTCCGAGGCACGATTTGAGGAGGGCATTCCTTTGATTTCACAGTCTGCAGGAAAGGAGGAACAGAGCAACGAACCCACTGGGGCCCTGAGCTCTTTTGATGATGGAGATGCAGAGGACGAGGATTTCTTCAAGCAGGTGGAAGACGGCGGGAATGCTGTGCCTGATCAGGCACCTGTCCCTTCTCTGGAGCGAAAGTCGACGATGCAAGTTATGGATTCGTTGAACACTGGCACGATTTCGCGGCAACCCACTCTTGAGGAGACTCCCGAGGAGGACGAGGAGGATGAGGAGCCAGCCAAGCCTGCTGCTACTGAGCCGACCACAACTAAGGCTCCCGGCAAGGAAGATTTGGAATCGAAGTGGGAACAAGCCTTTGCCGACGATGACGATGAAGATTTCCTTCTCGAGGACACTGGTGCGGACGGAAAGCAGGTCGACCCGGCTGCCTTCTTTGGGAGCGATGATGAAGGATTCTTGGAGGATGAAGAGCCAACTCCTACCCCGGCGCCTGTGGCTACGCGCCAGCCCTCAGGATCCAACCCCTATCTCCCTCAGAAGCAGGCAAACCAGCATGTGCCATCTCCATATGCTCCTAGCGCGCCGGTCCAGGCTGCACCCATCCACCCTACTTCCGCTTACAATACCCCGGCTCCCGGAACAGCTCCTATAGGGTCCTCTCCTCAATATGGCCGAGCCCCTCCAGTACGTCCTGAGATGCCAAAGGCACAGAGTTTCGCAGACAAGTCTAAGGGAGGCTATCACTCACCATATGATCTTCCCACCGACCTTGTCACCAATGTGGTGAAGCCTCGGAAGCGGGCAAGCATGCAACAACTCTCCCTGGCGAACCATCTTCATGCCCCGGTTCAACCTCCCCCGCGAAGTGCCAGTGTTGGCATGCCTGGTCCTCCTACTAGGCTCACTCCTCCCTCCTCTAGCCATGGCCTGCCCAGCCAACACCCTCAGTCGCCCCCGAAACCTACGACGCCAGGACTCCAGCATCATGAGAACTTCTTCGAGGAACTGCCCATGACTTCTAGGCCACGTCCTAGCTCAAGGACAAGCCATAGGGGAGCTTCGCCAGCTCGCCAGCCACCAATGACCCATGGGACACATGTCCCTTCGCCGTTGATGCCTTCAGCATCTGCAGTATCGACTCAGATGGCACCTCCGCCTCTCCCTGCAATGGCCGTTACACCCAGTCAGGCTCCTAGTCAGCCGCCAGCTGCTCAACAGCCGGGGGCCAATCTGGTTGCCCCTGAGCGAGTCAGCCCCTATGCAGCTCTGGCCAATTCCGCCAACCATTTGCCTCCTCCAACTTCCGGTGCTTCTCGATATTCTCCTGCTCCCACACATGCCGGTAGTCATACAGCACCACCTGCTCCGGCAAGCAGCCGTTACTCCCCCGCTCCCCCGGCTCTGAAATCGCACGGATCCTATGGCCCTGTATCTGCATCTGCCGTTCCCGCACCGATGCTGCCTCATCAGCCACGAACTTCCAGCCCGTTAACGCATTGCGAGAGTTCATTTGAACCAAGACTCAACCGGGTTTCATCTCTTCCTCCCACACGCGAGGTAGAGGAGGAGGATGATCAGCCTACTCAAATTAGATCTTTGAGTGCTACTCATGCTCCTGCCCCCTACCACGAGTCGAAGTATAACCCCGCGTCTCCTCCCAAGGTGCCCCGGCAGACACCACCTCCCCCAAGCTATGCTTCGCAGTTTACGCTCTCCCCCCCGAAGCAGTCGGGACCATATGCACCTATTGCTGCCCCAGCTGCGCCGGCTGGCTTTGTGCCACCTCCTCGAGCTCAGACGCAATCGCCAAGCACTTCATTTGGCCACAAGCAAGCCCAGAGATCGGCCGACTCGACACGCCGCCCCTCATCTGCTCATTCGCATGACTCCCCAGCTACGGCAAAGCCGTCGTACGCGCCCTACGCTCCAGTGGCCCCCGTTGCACCGGCTGCTCCATCTGCCACATTTGTTCCTCGCACTCGGGGCCAGTCCATTAACATTAACATGAACATGGTTGCGCCTACTGATGGGCGGGAGAATGATCCCCTTCAGCGATGGAGAGGTGTTCCCGTCATTTCTTGGGGCGTTGGTGGAACCGTCGTTACATCGTTCCCTAAGAGCATCCCGCGGTATGGCATGAACCAGTCTGTGCCCATGATTGTGCGGACTCCTGGAGAAGTCAAGATTCAGAACGTAAAGGACATTGAGCCACTACAGGATCACTTGGCCAAGTTCCCCGGCCCCCTTAGGGGCAAGTCCAAGAAGAAGGAAACCATTACCTGGCTCAACACTGCTATCGAGGCCTTGGAAAAAGACCTGCCTGATCTGTCATTCCACTCGCAGCTTTCTTTGGAGGTCAAGCGATCCATCGAGCGTTTGCTTCTCTGGAAGATCCTTCGCATTTTCATTGAACATGACGGTGTTCTGGAGGGTAACGCCGACGCTGAAAAGGCTGTTCGCCTTGTTCTCTCCCCAGGCACAAAGACTCCCACTGCCGATGACGACGCACTTTTCCCTACTGCTAGCAGCCTCGGTGGTCAGCTTGCCTCAGTCACCTCGATGCAATCCGATGGCGCTGATGTCTCAACCATGGAGCAGATTCGACATTATCTTCTAAGGGGCGATCGTGAGAAGGCTGTTTGGGCCCTGGTCGACAAGCGACTTTGGGGACATGCTATGCTCATCTCGCATACCGTAGAGGGAGACCTCTACAAACGGGTGGCGCAGGAGTTCGTCCGCAAGGAAGTCAATTACCCTGGCCATCCCAACGAGTCTATGGCTGCTCTCTACAAGATTCTCTCTGGAAACTATGACGACTGTGTCGATGAGCTCGTCCCAGTACATGCTCGAGCTGGCCTTCAGCTTGTGTCAACTAATGCAGGCTCAGGTCCTACTAAAGACACTCTCGACGGATTGGACAAGTGGCGAGAGACCCTGTCTCTTGTCCTTAGCAACCGAAGCGCTGACGACACCCAGGGCTTGAATGCTCTTGGCAGCCTTTTGTCTAGCTATGGCCGGGCTGAGGCGGCTCACATCTGCTTCATGTTTGGTCGCAGTGGATCCATCTTTGGAGGATTGGACGACGCCAATGCTCACTTTGTTCTCCTTGGAGCGGACCATCGCCAACAGGCAGACCAGTTTGCAAAGGAGACAGAGGCACTTCAACTCAGTGAGGTTTACGAGTACGGACTGTCGCTTGCAGGAGGCGTCCATGCCGCCGCTGGAGCTCCTCATCTGGCGGCTTATAAGCTTCAGCATGCTATGGTCCTTGCTGAGTATGGCCACCGGGACAAGGCTCTGGAGTACTGCGATGCTATCTTGACAGCTATTCACTCTCAGACCAAGCGGTCGCCTTACCATCACCCCATTCTGGAGACCGCCGTCGAGGACTTCATGGTGCGATTGAAGCAGGCGCCGAAGGAAGACAGCGGTTCATGGATCTCGAAGCCTAGCATGAATAAGGTCTCGGACAGCATGTGGAACAGGTTCAACAAGTTTGTTGCAGGAGATGAAAACGAGGAGAATGGAGCTACTGGAGAGGCTGGACCATTCAACCGCCCCTCTGGCGAGTTCAGCCGGTCTCCCTCCGTTTCCAACTTTGACATCTATGCTCAACAGTCACCGAGCTTTGGCATGACCCCTGCTCAGCCGCCTTCCCAGGTGCCCATGAGCGCGGCCGCATCCAGATATGCCCCGGCTGCCGCTGCAGCTGGAGCTCCACCTGCTTCAGCAAACCCTTATTCTCCCACTTCGCAGTACACGCCTGGAAGAACTTCGATGGATCGGGTCTCCAACGAGTACCCTCGGAGCTCATACGAGCCCGCCTACCCTGGCGCTCCTTCATCCGCCCCGGCTGCTTCAGGTGACAGTTACGCCCCCCCAGTTCCTCAGCCCCCCCAGAACAATGTTGGTGTTGAACCCTCTGGCCTGGCCCCGGCGGCTCAAATTACGCAGGCGTACTCGCCGGCTGGCTACCAACCTTACGGAATGCCGACGCAGACCAACAACTCTACGACTGATGATGACAAGCCTACCGAGCCCTCGCAACAAGGATTCCAGCCTCTTAGCTATGGCTATGAACCCCCACAGATGAACTCAAACCCTCCGGAGCCCGAGACGCCAGTCAATGCTGGGGAGAGCAGCAGTGGTGGATATGAACCTCCTTCATTCCAGCCCTACGGCTACGAACCTCCATCCTATGAGCCGGACCCCGAGCCGACAGCCGAGGGAGATGAGGACACACCTAAGCCTAAGAAGAAGAGTTTCATGGATGATGACGATGACGATTTCCCCTCGATGAAGGCCAAGGAAAAGAGCAAGTCGGAGAAGGACCGCGAGAACGAGGAGATGTTCCGTAAGGCTGCTGAAGAAGATGGTAAGGAATCTGCCAAGCATTGTGATAGCAACATGCTAACAGTTATATAGCCAAGCGTGCCGCTGCCCAGCAGCCAGCCAAGAAGGGTTGGGGCTTCGGTGGATGGTTTGGAGGTAGCAAGAAGGCGGCTCTCGACGCTCCTTCACCTGGTGAATCATCGCCTGGAAAGCCCATCCGTGCCAAACTTGGTGAGGCCAGCAGTTTCGTGTACGACCCTGAACTCAAGCGATGGGTCAACAAGAAGCCTGGTGCCGAGAACACGCCTGCGAAGACGGCCACACCACCTCCCCCACGCGGCGGACCTCGATCTGTGTCGGGAACTCCTCCCCCTCCCCCTGGAACTCCACCACCGCTGGTGACCAGCAACAGTGCACCACCACCGCTCATGCCTCCCAAGGTTCGTGCTGGTACACCTGATCTGACAAGGACTGCTTCGTCCGACAGCCTGGCACCACCTCCCATGCTTCGGTCTGTCTCCAACACCAGCAACGGCCCACCAAGCAGGCCTACTACAAGCATGAGCAACGCCAGCAGCATCGACGATCTGCTCAGCGTCCAGCCACGCAAGGCTAGCGACAAGAAGAAGCCACGAAAGAGTGGGCGTTATGTCGACGTCATGGCAAAGTAAAAGAAGGAAAGAGTTGTAATTCAGGGCATCAAGCATTTGTACCGATCTCGGCATCGGTAAGCTGTGTCTAGGCGTTATTCGGGGGGTTCATGTCTTGGATGAACCAATCTGTACTATAGACTATCGTTGTGTTTTATCATACTCTCGGTGGCGCCGAGGGAAGACTGGGCCTTGGTGGCTGTAATACGCCAGTTGTACACTTGAGGGAGTGGAAGAGAAGGACTTTTGATTGTAATATTTTGGATCAGCGTCAAGATTAGAGATGGCGGCTCGAGACACGGTTATGACTCGAAAGCCCGGTATCAGATACGGAACGATAATGCGTTGAAGATTCATTTCTACCAGTTTGCTTGACTGTATGCATAATATGTGACCTTGTACCCTTGCTCAAACACCAAAGATATCCTGCCCAAGTCCATAATGAAAACGACCCAGGCCCTGAGATGTGTTTTGCGAACAACTCCAACGCCGAAATCAAGTCAACATCCTCTTCTCGATACTCAAATCAGACACTGTATGATTGAACATAGTACTGTTATTGTTAGCATGTGCTGGAAGCAAGCGAGGATATTTGCAAGAGGATACTTACTGTCACGACGGAATCGTCTGCCGCAGCATCATCGTACTGGGGCACATATACATAGAGGATTAAAGCATGATCATGGGCAAAGCAAGCAATCACTCTGCCCTCCAGTCGACCAACACTTAAGACACGACTCCAGTCCTTGCCATCCACGCGAACAGTGGCCCAACGATCTGGGCCGTCCTCACGGAACTTGGTACTGGGGTGTTCTTCAACAGGGCAGTCCAGCTGAGCAGGATCCAGCTCTGGGTTCTCCAAATTGGACCAGACGCTGCAAATGTCAGTGTTTTCCGTCGCCATGCGAAGACGTAAGCCACCGTGCATGTTGGCGCTAAGCTCGAGCTTTGGTGATTTTGTGGTGGTAGAGGATCCAGAGCTAGAGGCCATGGCGAGCTTGGTGAAGCGGTCCGAGATGGCCTTGAGCTGAAGAAGTGGCGGTAGTTGGATGTGCACGTCTGGTTCACGCACTCGTGGTTGCATGATAGTTTCAACAGTCTCTGGATGAAGAACCCGCACGGGAATATCCTGTGTGATAATCTTTTCGTGCTCGCGTCTCAGAGAAGTTTCCAGGTTCTCAGCCTGGAACATGTCGTCATCATCAAAGGGATCATCTCCTGCACCAGAACCCGAGGGCTTCGCGGCTCCTGGTGCATTGGAAGGATTGGCAGTGGTTGTGGTGATGGTCATGGATAGCACAGGCAATCCTTCCTTCTTGGTTAGGCGGAGGGAAGCAGATATGCTATTGAGGGCGGACTTGAGGGCGCGCTGGAGTGGTTGAAGGGGAAGCTCTAGGTTGATGGTGTTGGATGCTTCTGCGGATTGGATGTGATAGCCGTCAAAGATGAAGTCCATGGCAAGCGAGCTGGGCAGGTGTTAGTGGATGTGTTGTTCCATCTGCGATGAAGACCAAAAAGATGAGGCATTCGAGGGCAAACACGTACGCCCAGACTTGCGATCCCATATCTGGGATGACGGTGAAGCGTGCCGTATCATCGCTCAAGCGCAACCAGGCGATCTTCTCAAGAGAGCCAAGTGCAGCCGTGAGCTCTGCGAATGTTGTGGTCAGTAGGGAACTATAAATCAAGGAAAAGTGAGAGACAAACTTGCAAAGGTGCGAATGTTTTTCAGCTCCGTGCGGAACCGCATATTGAAGTAATTTTAAGTTCAATGTGGTGATGGAATGGAAGTATTGAAGTGATTAATGATGCTGAGGTTGAAAGTGCAAGTGCAGGGGCCAAGCTCGACGGCTGCCTGCCCCACCAAAGCTTAGCTTCTAGAATCCCCCACCAACAATCAACAACCTCCCATCGACAACCACGTCAACCTACGCCTACACCTTCACCTTTACGCATTCCCCGTCCAACATCGCTTTCGCTTCTGTACCGACACGACACAAAACACCATGTCTCACATCTCGACGGCTCAGGCGGGCCTCGCAGCCGTCGAAGCCAAGAAATGGGACGAAGCACTCCCGCTGCTGTCAAAGGCCCTCCAGACCTCACCCAACCCAGCCTGGCTAATCGCCCGCTCCAAGGCCCTCATCGGCAAGAACCGATACCAGGAGGCCCTCGACGACGCAAACCTCGCCTGGCACACCGCCTACGAACGCAACAAGCGACCCCTTCTCTCCGAGGCAAACTACCGCCGCGCCGTCGCTTACTTTCGCCTCGGACAGTACGCCAACGCCGATGCGTGCTGCGTGTACGCTATTCGACTCATTAAGGGGTTCCCAGCTGTTGAGAAGGCGGATCCCGTCAAGGCTCTGACCGACGCCGATGGCTTTTATACTGTGACTTCGGAGGATGCGCAGCGCGAGGCTAGAGAGGAGGCGGAGCAGGAGGCAGCCAAGAATAAGGGCGCCGAAGGAGGCATGACGCTGGATGGCCTGGATCTTGGACCCAAGAACAAGGAGGCTAGAGCTGCCAGTTCTCTGCGCTTCATGATCCTGGCCGCCATGGAGAGGCTTGAGAAGGACGACCCGGCGCGAAAGCTCACCACGAGCGCCAAGCCCGAGCAGAAGGACCTCGCGGATCTAAAGATCCCGGATACAAAGCCTGCAGAGGCCCCAGTCGCCAAACCTGTCATCCCCGCTGATACCCAGCCGCGGCTCCAGGACTTTCAGAGTGATGTCACCATGTCGGTGTCCATCTTCTCCAAGGGCGTGAACAAGGAGAAGCTTCAGGTTGAGTTCAAGCCATTCTCGGTTCACCTGGATGCGACTATCTACCCCAACGGTGATACTCGACCATTCGATCTTGAGCTCTGGGGTGAGATTGATCCTTCGGCTTCCAAGCACACGGTCACGCCCAACAAGGTTGAGCTCAGCCTCCGAAAGAAGACGCCTGGAAAGTGGAAGCAGCTCAAGGGTGATGGCAACAAGCCCGCTGCACCAGCTGCGTAAGTGGTCTCCCCCGTACATGTACGCCGATATGCTAACAATGGATAGGGCTGTTGAATCCCTGAAAATAGCCGAAAAGGCTCCAGAGCAGCCCAAGACCGAAGAGAAGCAAGAGTCTGCTCAGCCCACTGAGTCCAAGAAGGCTCCCGAGGCCTCCAATGCCGCTCACCAATACCCCTCTTCGTCCCGCACTGGACCCAAGAACTGGGACACGCTGGCCGACGATGACGAAGCCGAGGACACCAACGACGTCAACTTTTTCTTTAAGAAGCTGTTTAAGGGCGCCACTCCTGAGCAGCAGCGCGCCATGATGAAGAGTTTCACCGAGAGCAACGGCACCAGCCTCAGCACTGACTGGAACGACGTTAAGGATCGTACCGTGGAAACTGTGCCACCGGAGGGTGTCGAGGCCAAGAAGTGGTCGTAAGTGTCACGATGGCTTACACCGATGATGAGCAATGAATTTGTTTGCAACTTTCGAACGTTTGGCGCATGGGGAAAAGGGGACGCCGGGAAAATAACCGGCGTTTTTATCATTGAGCTTCCATAGCCATGAATCAATCAATCAGTCTACAACTACAACTTGTCGCTATGCCGTGTCTTGTACATCATCACCACATCTCGCTTTCTTTAAACATTCAACCGCTCATAATGCTCCTGTCCCAATTGCACAGCTCCCTTTGCCTTGAGATCTTGAACTGCACTGTCAACTTGTCCCTTGACCTTGTTGAACCATGGCGACGCCTTCAACTCTTGATCCTCAGCATCACGACTCCATTCCTTTCCACCACGATACTCAGCTGCCAAACCCTCAGGAACATGCAACGCACGGCTCACAAAGTCCTCACGGGCAATGTACGCACCCCTCAACCACCTCGATCCACCACCAACATCAAAAGCCTTTCTTCCGTGCATAACCCGCAAGTTATCAAAAAGCACACACTCGCCCGGCGCCATCTTCATCTCAAACATGGCATCCGGATCATTAATCAACCCATCAAACAACCTCGCAGGCTCAAGCCACTCTCTCGCATCCACACTCGCAAGCTGGAACCGGTCCTGGAAGGGTGGACTCCAGTACACGGCAGCCATGTTTCCATCTACACCGACGTCAAAGAGAGATCGCTTCTGACGGTAAAAGTAGCCGTGTTTCTCATAGTGGTAGGGAATTCGCACGCGGGCGAGATTCTCCACGGCCGAAGAGTTTTGTAACCAGAGGAGTTTTCCGGCGTGGAGACCATCGCTAAAGAGAGATTCTCCACCGTTGCATGAATTCTCAAGACAGTGAAGCAGTTGGATCGCGGGAGGACTTTCAAGATACAACAGATCTTGGTGAAGACCGAGATAACCACTGGTGTAAGCGACGTTTTCCGCATCAGGTTTCGCCCGGACGTCGAACGTGCGGCCATAAAACGTTTCCTTGATGTTGGCAATCTTTGTCGTTATGTCAACGATGGCGTTTTCGTCGTGCGGCACATTCTTGAGAAATACGAGACCGAGACTTGCGAGGTCGAGGAGAGTGTGCCAGAATGCGTCGCCGCCTTTGATAAACTCTGCATAGTCAATCTTGCGAATCCGAGACTTGATCGTCTGTGTGTCCCAGAATGTTCTTCCTGTCTTGGGATACACGGCGTCCTGGCGGGGATAAGGGAGTCTCTCAACGTCGCGGTGTCCGAGGGCTGTTTCGATTGACTTCCAGGGGAGAACCATTTCGTGGCCACCCTCGGCGAGACGGGGGATGTCGTTGCGGAATGAGATACCCACGCCAGCTTCGTCTAGTCGGATATCGTCAATGGCGATGTCGGTGGGAATGTCGGTTGTTGCAAAGCTCTTTTGTCCAGATGCGGGATCAGTGCACTTGAGACAAGTACAACTATCCCTCAAGACAACAGAGTCAAGCCTCGTCCATCCTCCATTCTTCCGATCCTCAATCTGTATGAACCTATCCCCGCTCGTCACAGTGACTCCCTTGTCCGTACCATCCAGTACAGTTCTAGCCTCAAAGGCAGGAGGTGTGTCGAAGCTCTTTGTAGAGATGCTCCGTAGAGCCGGGGGGTTGAAGCTGTGATTCTGCCCATGAGCACTTGCTAGGGGACGTTGTCTTGAAAGAGCACCAAGACTGCGACGAGGGATTGAGAGGGTTAGACTTGAGCCGGCGACTCTTCTGAGGACTCGATGAGAGAACATGGCGTAGTCAAGTCTTTGCGGTTAAGTCTAGGTGACAAACCACACTCGAGCTGGAACCAGTTCTTTATAAGAAGCAAGGAAAAAGTAAAACAGTTCAACTTGTTATCAATCACATCTACATCCAGAAACCATCATCGTACCTCGGCCAAAAGGGACGCAAAAGAGCTCCATGTGGGGTTCCTTCGGCCAAACCCCGCGTTTCTTGGACCCGTCGATAGCCTCAATCAGAAGCAAAAAATGAGACGACGCGCTCCGGACCTGGGGGAGTCCTCGGATCACATTGAGGCTTACAGCTTGCAGCTCTAGGGACAAATCACGGATCACACTGAAAGCAGGCCAAAGCAGCATGTCAAGCGTCAAAGACCTGGGGAAATTCGGCTATGTATGGCAAACGGCAATTGAATATCCAATCATGATAATTCGAGGCCCTCCAAAGGGACTTTTCGGCCGGCTGTTATTTTGAACTACATAATCATACAGCCAAGGTAAAAATTCAACCTCGAGAGCTCCACCAACGCCTTTCACCTTGTCATGTCAATGTCAAAGACTCCGCCCTTTGTCCGGCACATCTGTCTGTAGTCCACGTGTACACATTCATACATAGCTAGCCTTGTCTGGCTGCTTGATTTTGTAGTCTCGGTAGATTTGCCTACCTGTTGCGATTGCTCGACCATCGCTTCACCATCACTTCTCTAACCTTGTACATCTTGAAAGCCTCGGCGATGCCCTTGTCCAGAGCCTCTTCAAACTTGGAAGGGGGTGGTACGTCCACGTAGACCAGCACAAGGCTCTTGGTAACGTGAGAGAGAACTCGAACGGTTCCATGCAGCCACTGCCAGGACTTTTGAGGGTTCTGCTTCCCGACCTGCTTCCACTGAGGATCCGAGTACGACGGAATGACAATCAAGCCAAACTCGGCGTGGTCAAACACCGGGCCTCGGGTGTAGAGCAACCAGTCCACACCAAACTTGATGCCCCCGCGTGGCACCCATCCCAATGACCTGAAATGGTGGTAGACAGCATAGTGAACGAGAAAGTTGTCGTCGGGCTGCAGGGCGGGATCCTCCGGCTCAACGCGGGGTGGGAAGTAAGAGTATTGCCGAAACAGCCTCAAAAGCTCCATTGAAGACAATCGGCTACCAGAGGTAGGGTCGTTGACTGTCAATGCACCCAGGCCGAAGCTTAGAAAGAAGGCTTCCTCAGGCATCAGCTGGAGGTGTTCCATGTTCTTAATCACGCGTTCCTTGCCAGAGCCAGATGCCTCTTCGGCAGTGGTCGCATTCCCGTTTAGCGAGACCGACGCTGCGGCATTAACATCCGCCAGCCCGTTCTGCTTCGCATTTGCAGCTGCGTGTTGGGGGCTGGGGGGATCGCCAAGCCGGAAGGTTGTTGATTCGACATTGGGCGAAAACCGAACACTCTTCCGTCGCTTCAGCGGCTTCGAGTCGTCTGATTGGGTCGACAGACTCGAGCTCGACACGCGAGTGTTAATAGAAATCTTGCCATTGGTAGCAGCCCCGTTCGACCCATTGGTGGACGATGGCTCATCCAGGAACAGGGC